AAGACCACCTATGACTCCCCTGAAAGAGTTACAAGATAGAGACAGTCGAGGGACAATTGCTTGAAAATTAATGAAACTATTTCTGGATCATCAATTTGATGCTGTTTCATTTCCCCGCCAGTTGACTTATTGATTCATTTGTAATAATTTCCTTTTGGACGTAGGCGGCAGAGGCTTGAAGATGGAGGTGTGGAACCAAACAAGGCCCCGTTACCTGAGCGACATCTGGAGCTACAACGAGTCCACACCCGGATACTGGCAGCAGCCGGTCGACTCGCTGCCCCAAGTCTTCTCTCTGGAGCTGGATTACTTCACCACTCGGAGCAGAGGCTTCCTGGTTCCTCCGACCAGCGGCAACTACACCATCTACCTCGGCTGTGACGACCGATGTGACCTTTACCTGAGCAACTCCAGCCGGCCAGAGGACAAGGTGAGAAGAAAGTGCAGGAAATAACACGTATTGTTGGGGGAAACACGGACAGAAATCACGCTAACAGTTTTTTGTTCTACTTCAGGTTAAAGTTGCCTACCAGCCACATTATGCCAGCAACTTTAAAACAATGAAGTCGCAAAAGTCAGATGTAATGGCTCTCGAGGAAGGAAAATTGTAAGTACGACTGTGTTCGCCTGCGAATCGTTGATTCACGCCGCAGCACAGACGCTAAACACACGATGTCTATAAATCTGGTTTTCTGCAGCTACTACATCGAAGTCCTGCAGCAGGACTACGGCGGCAAAGCTCGAGTCAACATCGCCCTCTACCGAGAGGAAAGTTCCTTCACGGAGGAGCAGACGGACGACGCCGTCAACGAAGTTCAGCAGATCGTGGCCGACTACGACGTGTTCGACGAGGAGCAGGTAACCGGATGCTAACCAGTAGCTTTAGCGTGATGAATACATCCCAGAAACCCACTAACAGGTTTGAAAGCTGTGTTGTCTTTATACAAAAAATTTTTTAAACAAAGGCAAAATTACACTTTTAAAAACAGAAAGAATCATCGAATTTTCATCAATAACGAACTGAAAACTTAACCAAATATCAGCCTACAATTACGACATTCCATTAAAATGATGTTATTCTACATTCCCTAATTAATAATGTGCCAAAAATACATAATTTGCCCCACGGTCTTGTGAAAAAACATTACATTTACACTTTGTGGCGCAATCGCTAACCGTTTGTGATTCTTTTTGATGTGACTTTTTGGCTGAGCTGCAGACTGCATGAAACAAATTTCAAAATGTCAGTAATTTTCAAGCCTTTTTATGTCACATTTTTCTTCACTGTGGACTCATTTCTCAAGTCCTGCACCTCTATGGAAACAGCACAACCACGACTAGAAGCACAGAGAACTCAGAAACACCTTCTGTGCATTAAGGATAATTCAAAAAAATAACAATAATAATGATAATCAAAAAGAAAGACGAAAAAACAACCAGCTTTGATTGTTTATTCAACAACAATTAAAGGAACCTGGAATCGCCATGTTAAATACTTTACTCCCACGAGTGTTACCAATGATGGGAAAAAAGGCGATCCTATGTATTGTTTTATTATTTCTATTTCTAACTGATTCCCTTATTTGTCTTCTTTGCCTGCAGCTTTGTCCAGTTCAGTCCACAAATGTAGGATTTTTCCTTTTTTTTTTTTTTTTTAAACAAGACTGTTGGTCATATATGAGTTATGAAAGATTTCACGGTTGCATCAAGGAGGGCAGAATTTTTCTGTTTTTTACAGGATCTGTTCAATGCAAATAGTTTATTTTTAGCCAGTTTTTAAATAAAGCATGACTTTGATCAAATACAATTTTGGGCTTAGATTTAGCTGATGTACCTGAAGCACGGAGGCGGTGAAACAGCAGTAGCTCATGATAAAAACAAACCTCTTTCACAGTCTCCTCTTTCTGTTTAACGAGTCAAATCTCTGTTCATTTTTCCTGCTCTTTATTTCCCAGGTGGTTTCCTTCGACTCGTGGCCCAGCAGAACCGCTGCGGTCCAGGAGGTGCAGAAGCTGAGCGTCAGCAGCAGCTGCCAAAGCCACCTCTGCGGAAACACCTTCTTCAGGCTGAGCTACGGCGACGCCAAGACGGGTAAGAATTCAGAAGCCAGAATCTCATTTGGTGACACTGCGCTCTATAAAGTTTGTCATCTGTGTCTCCGTCAGCTCCGATTCCCGTCGGCGCCTCGGCGGGCGTGATGGAAGCTGCTCTGAACAGCTTGTGGTCCATCAGACCCGACAGCGTCCGGGTGGCCAAACAGGACGACGGTCAGGGTTCCCACTACACCGTCACCTTCAACTCTGACAGAGGTGAGAAGAGAGTGATGCTCTGAAGATGCAAAACAACACAATAAAAATGCACAGGACAGTAACTTTATGTAGAACTGTGGAGTCACTGCACCTGGGTTTAAATTTGCTCTTTTGTCCTTGCAGGCGACTTCGACCTTCTTCACTCGGAGGTTTTCACCAACGACACCAACATCATCGTTGCCGAGGAAACCAAGGGGCAAAGCAACATGGAGACCTTCACGCTGCTGTGGGCGGGAATCCCGACGAAACCCATCGCCGTCAACGCAACCGAGTCGGAGGTCTGTGACGCACAAAATCCCATAACATATTTATTAGAGCGCCACCCAGTGTCAGGTTTATATTCTACATTAACAGCACGAGTAAAATCATCTCTTGTCTCTGTGATGGTTAATACACCAGAATGTAGAAGATCTTTGACCCAAATGATATTTTTAATGCTAAAATCTAATTATTGTTGTTATCCAGGAATGTTTAGATCTACTGTTTGACAAAAAAAAACCTAATATATATATATACACATAACTGTAAATGCTCTTAATTTGAAAAGTTGTAATCTCATGATACAGGCATGTTTTAATCTGACAAACCAGTCCTGCAAATGCCTTAAATTAAAGACTTAAAGTAGTTTGTTTTTATTGTTTATTTTCATGCAAATCCTGCAGCTTCCACATAGAAACACAAAATCCTTTTCTTGTGCGATCATCAGGTGCAGTCGGCTCTGGAGGACATGATGAAGGCCGAGTGTCCCGACGAGATCCGACCCAGCGAAGGAGGCGACGTCAAATACTTCCACGACTTTGAAGACAACGTGTCTCAGGTGAGTAACGACGAAAAAAAAAAAGAAAAATCTTTTACTGTGAGACTGTTAGAGGCACTTCTATGCTGAGTTTATCATGCCATTAATCATAAATAACAGAAAATTAAAGTTTAATTTACAAAAAATGGAATCAACAGTTTTTCAGGTAGCCACACAAAGATGGAAAACTTTCAAAAACTCTCTGAATTTATTTTTAGTCGCTGTTGGTCGCAGCTGAGTGACTAATGGCTTCACAGTTGGACCAAAGAACACAGAATTTTTTGTTTTTTGCAGAATCTGCTTTGTGCAAATTGTTTTTTATGTGTGTTATTTTTAGCACAATTTTAAATAAAGCATGTAGAATAAAGTGACAACATCACAAATTTAAGCTGGGATTTGGTCAACAGTCACACGTGATACGTTGCAATATTTTCTACATTTTTCAAAAGTTGTTGTCTCACGCTTCAAATCTGTGCAGAATTTGATGTTGGATTGTATTTTTTTTCGCATTTTTTAAATATTTTTTGCCCTCCCCAGTTCAACGGTGATGAAAAAGGCACTCTGGTGAAAAACTCTGGTTTCTGCGGTTCGTCGTCGCTGAAGAACGCCGAAATTCTGTTCATGGAAAGCTACAAGAAAGAGTCGGGAAAAACCTACGGACCGGTTTCACTGGACAAACACCCCACGGTACAACACACAGCTCCTTTACTACTATTCATGTTGTAAATTAATACCGTTTTGGTCGTGATTGGACCCAGTCTGGGAATATATATTTGTTCCAGTATCTATATGATCAAACTATATAGTATGACAGAAAAATATTTAGCATGTCCCAATATATAGTATGTAAAATGTGCTGAATTACCAGCACAGTGTGTTTCACAATTTGTATTTCTGGTTCATTGGACTCCGAATAAGATAAGAAAAGACGAGAAAAAGATGAAAAATGATGAGACAATATTTTAATAAGATGAGAAAAAGAAGAAAAAAATAATTTTGAAAAGATGAGAAATGATAAGAAAGATTTTTAAAAAGATAAGACAAAAATAAGAGATGAGAAAAAGATAAGAGAGATAAAAAAAGATGAGAAAATTGTGAGACATGATCAGAAAAGTTGAGAAAAAGATCAACAAGATGAGAAAAAGATGAGAAATGAGAAAAGACAACGAGAAGAAAAGATGAGAAAAATACAAGTAAAACACCAGAAAAAGATTTTTAAAAATGAGAAAAAGATGAAAAAACATGAGAAAAGTTGAGAAAAACATAAACAAGCTGAGAAAAGATGAGAAAAATACAAGTAAAAAGATTTTAAAAAATGAGAAAAAGATGAAAAAAACATGAGAAAAGTTGAGAAAAACATAAACAAGCTGAGAAAAGATGAGAAAAATACAAGTAAAAGATAAGAAAAAGATGAAAAAAGTGAGACATGATAAGAACATTTAAGTAAAAGATAAACAAGATGAGAAAAAGATGAGCAAAGATAAGAAAATATAGGAGAAACATGAGAATAGATTAAAAAAAAAAAGATAAGAAAGATAAGATGAGAAAAACAGTTTTAAAAAATTTGAAAAGATGAAAAAAAGAAAAGACAAGATGTCACAAGTTTAGTTGCCTGTGATGATGAAACAGTTCTAATCCTGCATTCAGGACTATGTGTTTTAAAGTCAGCAGAATCATCTACTGAGAGTAACGCCGGCGTCATTTGATTTAAAACCCTTCTGTTTCCTCACAGCTGTGCTTCGCCTACATGGGGGCGCTGGAGGACGTCGTTCAGGTGAAGTTCACGTACCGCAACAGCAGCGGCGTCACCAGAACGGAGACGGCCAAGATCAGCACCGTGTTCGACGAAGGCCCAGAGTCAGTACCGTCCACAGACAGACGTGTTCATTCATCACATATGTGCTGCTCAGTAAACGTCAGCTTGACGGTTTGTTCCCAGGTGGAGCTACAAGTGCTTGGACCTGCAGAGCTCGCTGCAGACTGAATTCTTCGGCAGCAGCTACAGTCTGCTGTCGCTTCACCTCCACAAAGACGAGTCCAGGGCAGACTTCTACGTGGACGCTGTCTACATCGGGAAGACGCCCACCACGAGAGACGTAAACGGTACAGAGCAGCGTGGTTTCTGTTATCAAAGCTGATCGCTGGTTCAATCAGACTTTTATTTCTACAGAAAGGCAACATTTTTGCAGCAATCCAAGCAAATCCAGTGCTGATGTGTAAATAAAAGCCTGAGCACGTGTTTTCTGACGAATAAGTTTGTTTGTTTTACTTTTTTCTTGTTTCTTCCAGCTGTTGTCCAGAAGAGGAGGCCTCCTCCTTTTAAGAGCTCCTTCGAGATGATCTCTGTGAGCAAAAAGGCATCGAACGCCTCACGGTTCAGCTACGAGATCAAAGCCAGGCCTGCAGAATGCGCGTTTGGGTTCCCGCTGCTGGAAGTCGGCTTCCTGCAGGTAACCAAGTCATTTATTCCTGTAGTCATGATGATTATAGCTTTGTTTTAGGGGCGCGATAGTCGTGTTTTTTCCCATGAATCGGCCTGATGATTGTCGAACATCAACGCCTTCGTCTTTACATTTGATCTCGCTGGTATTTCACAGATGTTTTTACTTAAATAATCCTGGACTTGAACCTTAAATATGTTAAAATATGTTTTACTTTTGTAATAAAGAAGACTATGTGGTCTAATTTGGGCTTCTTCTGAATAGTTTCCACGCTCTCACAGTGCTTACTTGTAGTCATTGTTTGGTGTGAACAAAAATTGAATATTGGTAATATCGGTTATCGGTATCGGCCAGAAATTTTAATATCGTGCGTCACTACTCTATTTGTACGGCAACTTTTTAAAAAGAGGAAGAGAATATTACAAGGCAAAGCCAGTCAGCTGCAGTAGAAAGAAAAAAGAACAAACACAACTCGATACAACAATAAAAGCACCAAAAATGCCACAAAACAGACGTAAAAGCAGTAAGTGGTCGAGTCTCCTCTATGGCTGCACTGAACTGCATATATGACATTGATTAATTTGGTTTTTACTGTGTTTTATCCTCAAGATAAACCAGTTTCGTCAGTTTCTTCCTGTTGTTTGCAAAACTTGAGAAAAGAAAAGTGTATAATAACTTGACTGTATCACGCTGTGACAAACACGAGATCATGCAAAAGTTTTTTTTGTGGCGAACGGATGTCAAATTAAACGGCTGTCTTGGAGTGAGGAAAAAAATAACGTCGAATTTCATCAAATGTATTCATAGTTTCAACCTGCGTGCAGCTTTGCATCCATCTAGTCACCCGTTAGTCTCGTTTTAATTACTCATAAACTCGTGGTTGCATTGATTAGTTCACATCTCGGTGTGTTAATATTAATTCAGTGCAAACAATACGGTACTGTAATGATATATTTAGCATTTTTCTGGTTTTCTGTCTCATACAGCATCCGACCGTCGTGCTTCTGATATTTCCACAATCTCTCCCACACAGATATGAAAATATATCTACAAAACTATTTAAAAATAAAAAGTGTGTTTTCTCCCCAAGAAACGAAGGTTGATGTAGAAAATGTGCAGGTTTATGATGAAATATCTGCAGAGGCAAGACTGTTTAGGAAAAAAACAAAACAAGAGGATGTGTCCAGACCTTATATTTACCAAAATAAGAGCTTCAATATAAAGGAATTTCCTTGAGTTAAATGAATCAGAATCCTTTATTATTGTCGTTATGCACAGGTTTCCATACGCACTACCAAATTTCAGAGATAAAAGAAAAAGACAAGAAAAGATGAGAAAAAATACGAGTAGAAGATGACAAAAAGTTGAGAAAAGGATGGGACATGATAAGAAAAGATGAACGAAGATGAGAAAATGTTTTAAAAAGATAAGACAAAGGTAAAAGATGAGAAAAAGATGAGAAACGATGAGAAAAGAAAAGTCAAAGACAAGAAAAAATGAGAAAAATACAAGTGAAAGACAAGATAAGTCGGAAGTCTCGGCTTTCGACAAAAGAAAAATGCCATAAATAAAGACTTCTGACAACCAAGTATAAACAAAAATAAGAGTGTAAATACAAATAATCAAATATAAATATCAACCTTCTAAAAATAAAGAAAGAAGAAAGCAGTTTGAACTTGACTTTCCTTCCGTTTAGGGCTCGTTGGTCTAATTAAAGGCTCGTTTCTGTTCATAAACTCGGCTCTCAACATCAAAACTTTTTTCTCGTCCACAGACGTCCAACAGCAGCGAGGACTCGGCCGACTTCGAGGCGGGAGGAGCCAAGGTCAGCATCCGTCGTCCTCACAGAGCCTCCCCACCGCTGAGCGGAACCTTCGGTGTGGAGATTTACGGAGACCGAGTCGAAGGTGGGTCGGGTCGGGCCGAGGTCAGCGTTGTTTCATAACCGAGCCCCACAGGTAGCATCATTAATCCTGGTGGCTTTCAACCGATCGCTCACTGGCACGACAGTAGTTCTATTGTACGGATGACAGGTTAATAATTACCCAGAATGAATGCAGCGCAGGAGAAGCTCGCTGCCGAAAACAAAGACAAAAGAGCAGAAAACTGGAGCAGCGACTCGGAGAATGTCGGCTTTGTGAAGCAGGACAATGACTGTTGATTGTTGATGTGTAAATAGCTGCCAGGCGCATCACGTAACACAACAAAGAACATCTGTGAAGTTTACTGATGTTTATTCCTGCTGTAAGGACGTGAAAACACTCCGGGTTGTTCTGGGCAGAGCAAAGCCCAGGATGCAGCGCTGGTGCCCCAAAAAATAGCCAATCAGTCATTCAGGCTTTATTTGTTCAGCAGCTTTCATACAAATCAAATGCAGCACATCTTTATTATCATTAGAATTTTTATACACTAGTTAGATGTGTATTGATCATAATAATAATAATAAGAAAAAATAAACAAGCAATTTTGAATGTCTTTATAATAATAGTGAAAAAAAAATTGTTGTAGTTTCACACAAGACAGAAGCAGACAGACAGTAATGGACACATTTACAGCCTAAATCTGCAAATAGGGGCTTCTGAAAAAATACATTAAAATGTCCTGTAATGATCAAAACAAACAAACAAACAATCAAACAAACCCAGTTTTTAAAAAGTACCTATTTGTAAAATAATGATATTTTAAACAGTTTTAAATGCAGTGAAACAGTTTGATTCTGTGGTCAACTACTGTAAAAACAAAGAGAAAAAACTAAAGTAAACGAAATACTATTTGTGAAAATATTTTTTTTTGATCGTATAACTGTTTTGTTTGTTTGTTTGTTTACAATCAGCGTAATTTCCCAAAACAAAGAAGGTTGCCAGAAAAAATATGTAAAAAAAAAAACAAAACAGAAATATTCAAAAACGGTATGAAACGGTGAAAATAACTGAGATATTAAAGATAGTAAATATCTGTAACATATCAATACTGTTTCCTGATTTAAATACAACAACAAAAAGTGTAATTTTACAGTTAAAAGGAATTTATGAAAATACTGATTTTAATGTGGATTTTATTTACAGTTTAATTTTCCATTTAATGTGTAAATAATATTTTTTTCTTGGTTTTTACCAGATATGATGTAGATATCACTTCTATACTTAAAACATGGAAAACGTGCGAATTGTTTAAAAAGCTACAGTTTAAAAAAACACATTAATTTATCATAACTACGATTAAAACTCTGTCAGACATGTTTGATGTAATCGGGGTCCTGATGAGCCGCTCAGGAGGTTTTAAACTGGATCAGATCTCAGACCAGCTTTGTCCTCCGGTCGTCATGAGGAAGTGACACGATGTCTGTCCTCAGGTCTGTCCATGGACATCGGCGAGGACGAGCTGAAGTACGCTCTGGAGGGAATCGAGGGCATCGGGCAGGTCAGCGTCACCGACAAGGGAACCTGCAGACAGCCGAAGTGGAGGATCAAGTGGCTGACGAAGGGCGGAGCTCAGCCTCTGATGAAGGTCTGGACCCACCAATGTTCATGTACACTCAGAGCTAATGAGGAAAGATTCTGCAGAAAACTCATCCAGGACACAGAATTAGAGGCTGGAAACACAAACGATATTAAAGCTTCAGCGACGAATTAGGAGACGGGAGATCCATAATCAGAATCATATTAATAAGTGTTTGTCAGATGTTTGTGTTTATGTTTAATATAATCTATTTTTAATCATTAATTGGCGACTTAATTAAAGCTCGTCATCACCTACCTCGATGTAAATCCAAAACAGACGGTTTATTAAAGAGTTTGAAAGATATTTTTAAAAAACTTTTTTATTCATAATCATGAAAATCTAAATTCTATCATTTTATTTATTGTTTTATCTTTTTTATTTCTAATTTGTGGAAGGTTCGGAGTATGAATCTGCTGCTATTTCAGCTGTCGCATCTTTTTTTTTTTTTTACTTACTGATGGAAAACCTTTATTTTTTTCACTGTATTCAGTCAAATCAAATCAGATTTATTCATATAGCACTTTTAAAACACCGCATGTTGTCTGACAGGCAGCAACGACGCTGCAAAAACATCAAGACGGGATGAAACTGGTAAAATTCTCATTTTAAAACATAATTAAATACAATAAAATACTAAAACAGGCAATGATAGGTCGGCTACTTGTAAGATCTATTTGTAAAGAAATAAATATGGAATAAAAATGAAGTATTAAAAGCATTAAGAGCAGCAGAGATCCAGTGAAAACATGAAAAAACAAAATCACTAAATGAGGAGCATTTTATTGGAAAAGGAATTCTGTTGTCAAGCTTTGGAGCTGATGCTTGTCGCAGAGCTTCATCCAAAAACAAACAAACATGCAAATAATAATAAAGATAAAGTAAATATATGATAAATGTTGTTTCTGATTAAAGGAAACATCTGTGATTTTTTTCTCTCTCTCTTCAGGTCGACAGCTCGTCGGTCGTCGGCGAAAACGTCGTCATTTCAGTCAAAGAGGTCGAAAAAGGCGGACTGCTGATTCGAGGCCTGTCCGGAGATTTCTTCCGCAGCTGGGAAACCAAACCGCAGGTACGGCAGAGATTCAAAACGCCTCGAGGACGCCAAGGTTTTAGGTTTCAGCGTCAAATCCGTGTGTGAATAGCTGCTGACGGTTCTTAATGAATCCTGCGGAGCCAGTTGCTATTTCTGTCGACGCCTTATTTCGCGCCCGCGGGCAGGATTTAGTGTGTTGGCAGGTTTCCTCCATCACTGTTACAAGCCGACACGCTGATGGTTTTCCCAGTCCGCAGAGTCGTCGTTATTCTATTGCTGTTAAGTTACTGTCTTGTTTTTACTGTGAAGCCCTTCGGTCACCCTCTGGGCTGTGGTAAAGGGCTATGTGCATAAACTTTGATTGATTGATTGATTGATTGATTGATTGATTGATTGATTGTTGTGTCTGCCGTCTCTCAGGTGCAGGTTTTGATCAACGGGATTCCCTCCAAGTGTTCTGGAAACTGCAGCTTTGAGTGGAGAGACGAGAGAACTCCGGTTCTGACGGGAATCAGCCCGACTCAAGGTGCGGTTCCAAAACAATTTCACTTTCAATGAGCATTTTAATACAAATTTTAATTTAAAAAAAGGCAACAAATCTCGCAGGATTTGCTTTATTGTTGTATGTTGTGTAAGTATTGTGCAGTTTTTTGCACTTTTAACCCAGGTAGTAATTTTTTCCTGTATTTTCACATCGCCTTTGTAAAGCACTTTGTGACCTTCTGTCTGTGAAAAGCACTTTATAAATACCTTTTACTGACTTATATTTTAATTATTTAGGTCAGTCTCCATCATTAATAATAGTCTTCAATAATACTAATGCCGTATTACGTCCAGCAGTCGGCTAGAGTCGTATTTTATGTCATTTTTGTTGTTGGGTCCAAATAATTACAAAACCTAAACTACAAACTACAATAATAATAAAAACTATATATAACAAAATGTTTTGCATGTTTGAGTCCTTCATATAAAGAATTGTTCATTCAAATAATAATAAAGGTAAAAACGAAAAAGGTGTAATTTTATTTTTATGATTTCGAATTGGACAATTTTTTTTTTTTTTTTTTTTGTTTGATTTGTTTTAGTTATGGTTCTTTTTTGTTTTGTTTTTGTTTTTTTTTTTTTTTTTCCATTTTGTATTTGATTTTATTTTTTTTTTTTTATTTGATATTATCTGTAAAATATGTAGATATAAGTTTTTAAAAATATTCATAATTTTTCAATAATTAATTTACATATTTTTCTTTCAAATAGCAGCAACATTTTGGAAAAATAAGTTTGTTTTTGGGGGTTTTTGTTTTTTCTCTCATTTAAATACAGGAAAAAATAATAGATCTATAAATGACAGTAAAGAGAACCCTGGTGGATCCCACCTCAAACATACTTGCTAAGACATGAGGAGGAGTGATGGAAGCAAGGACACGTGTTAGAATAATGAGATGCATGTGGAGCCATTTTCAGATTTTTATAAATTTTGTAGGAAATGTCAGTTTTGGCACCAGCATTGATGTGGAGATTGTTTAGTTTACAGATTAAAAAAAAAACCTTAAATCTACAGCACCTCCTGTAATGTAAATACAACCTAATTAAATATAATATTTGTCTTTTCCAGGCTCTGATGGCCTCGGGACTCTCCTGACCATCACCGGAACCGGCTTCAGCAGCGAGAACGCCTCCATCACGGTGGGAAAAGCAAAGTGCCGCGTCGAGCAGGTCACCGGTGAGTCTTTAGACGTGAACTCTGGTCGGTTGTCGAAGCGGCACAAGACGTATGTGTGACGAACCAGATGTTGTGTTGCAGCTTCCTCTCAGGTGTGCAGGCTGAGCAGCTCCAGCGCCGGAAGCTACCCAGTGTGGGTGAACTTTCCCTCCCTGGGAGACGCCCGCCACCCTGGAGGAGACGTCCTGAGGTTCACCTACCAGCTCATCGTCTCCTCCTTCTCCCCGACGTCTGGAAGCCTCGCAGGTAAAACATGGATAAATCTGGTTTAAAAGTGTGTTAAAAGTCGTTTATCGGAGCCAGAAAGTGTAAAAACAGGAAGATTTGTTGCACACGTTGCATCAGAAAACTTCAGATCTGAGCTTAAAATCTTGATATTTTATGAAAACCCCTTTATTCTACATGTATGGTTTAAAAATGTTGCCAAAAATGAATCATTATAACAGAAAAATGCAAAAAAAATTCAGCCGTGAATCATTTGAGTCTGTAGCTTTTCTGCTGAACTGCAGGTTCTGTTTATACAGAACTTTACTGATATAAATTAAAAAGTAAAGAACTTTTTTTTGTGACATTTTCCTCACTGTGGGCTCGTTTGATTTATGACATTCCAACTTTGTTCTGCTGCACAGAAGACATTTCTGAGTTCTCTTCGTTTCTAGCAGGACTTAATGTTGCAAAGAAAAATGTAGCCCACAGTGAACAAAACTAAAAACCTGCTCAGAGTTCTGCTTTATCACAAAATTAAATCAGAATCAGCTTTAATGGCTTTAAGTACGTACACAACATACAAGTAATGTGGTGTCGGCTGTTGGTGTCGCCCTGGGAATTTGCACGAATAACAGAAATAGGAAAATTAAAAAATAAAACAAAGTAAAATAACTACAGAAAGAAAAGAATAAAATGCAATAAATATTAATAAAAAATAAAATAAGATAATAAGACAAATATATACAAGAATTTACACATCTAGTAGAAAAGGTAAATGTACAGTAGTGCAAATTGGAAGTGGAGTGGCTCAGCTGTTCAGTGGGATAAAAACTGTTGTTGTGTCTGGTGGTTTTAGTCTGCAGGACTCTGTATCGCCTGCCAGCAACGCAATAATCCTGCCATCAACGGGAGCTTCAAAACGCTCTTAAGGAGTCCATCAGAAAGTTTAACAACTATTTTCTTTTACTTTTTTTTCTCAGGAGGAACTCTGCTGACCGTGAGCGGCTTCGGCTTCGGCCAGAACTCTTCGGTCAGCGTTGGCGGCGGCGAGTGTTCGCTGGTTCACGTCACCGACACGGAGCTGAAATGCAGAACACCGGCAGTGAGTGGACAAATGTCATCTAACAACTTAAAGCACTGGAGTTTTCTTTATTACACACAATCAGCAGAGCTCGGACAGGTCTGATAAAAACAGTCGCGTTGGGGAATGAAGGCTTCTGGCTTGAGAGCAGTTCAGTCAGTTTAAAAGATGCCTTTTGTGGCTGCATCAGCTGCTGATGTTGTAGCTGCAAGATTTAAACGATGAGCGCAAGAAGTCTGGACGCTTTGTGAATGAACGTCACGAGAAGATCGATTGGTGAATAGTTCTTCGTTATTGATGAAGCTCTGTGACGAAGCTGCTCAGGAAGTGAATGCCAGAACGGAAAATCTCCAAAATAAAGTGCAGACGTTGAAGTATTTCTGCTAAAATGCTGCTAGACTTTCAAATTAAAGGCCACACAATAGAGTTTCACTGATTGTGCATCTTGTTGCAGGGAATTTGTTTCACTGTGCAGCGTTAATTTTAAACAGAGCAACCTATTTGTAGTGAAACTATGAGCAAAATTATTATTACATTCATAAGAATGAGTCATTTTAGGGCAGCAAGTACATATTTTATTCATTTTTTTTCGATAGAGCTTTGTTTAGTTGATGCAGGAAGAAGAGCTTTAACAGGAAATTCAAATTTTGAAAACCCTTTTGACATGAAAAGTAGGAAAACATGAAAAGAAGACTGTTTGGAAAATATAATGAGCAGTAAATATGCTCTAAAGAGGTGCATAAATATAACGTTTGAAGCAAAAAGTAGGAAATGAGAGCGTTAATAACTTAATTCTATCCTCCTAATTCTTTTTTTGAGTTCTGCTTTTTTGTTTTGTTTAGTTTTTCTTGTGTATATTTGTTATCTTATTTTATTTATTACTATTATTATTTATTTTATTTCTTTCTTTCCATAGTTATTTTATTTTTATTCTTTATTTTCCTACTTCTATTATTCTCCTTGCTCATTCTTGGCCGACACCAACAGCCGACACCACATTCCTGTATGTTGTGTACGTACTTGGCCATTAAAGCTGATTCTGATTCTGATTCTGATTCTGATTCTGATTATTTTGTGGGTTTTATTTTCTCTTTTCTGCGACACGCCTGAAACACATCAAATAAATTAAAAAATAAATAAAAATCCAAGTCTGAGTCGAGCTGCAGCATCAAACGATCGTCTTTTAATTGTCGTTTTCTTCTTTTAAGAACACGTTTTTATTTTCCTGCGTGTCTCTTTAGCTTCAATAAAACCTGCTTGTGTTTGTTGTTTCAGGGAGCTGCAGGATCACAAACCGTCACAGTGTCGGTGGGAAACGCGAGTCAGTCGGCCGGCGGCTCCTTCACCTTCGACGGCAACGCCACGCCTCAGATCTCCGGCCTGAGTCCCCAGCGCAGCACCGTGACCGGTCGGTCGGGGTTTTTATTCTAACTCGACTCCAAATGAGGCTTTTCAATAACGTCGGTTCATGCGTTTAGGGTCCTCGTGAGGTCGGATCATAAACAAATAAAGCTCCTTTGATTCAGTTAAATGGAGAATCAGGTTTAATGGGTTTTGTCCGTAAAGGTTAAAGGAATCTAATCCGTCCAAATGCAGCGGATACGAAACATACGGGCTTTGTTTCCTTTTGTTTGGGAAAATAATAGAAGTTTATTCATTGTGTTTCACCGAGGGTTTGTCTCCAACATGATGAAGCTACAGAGCACATTGGGTCCATTAGTGACTGCTGGAAGGCTTTTATATGTTTCAGGATCAGTATTCACAAGTTAAGATACTTAATAAGGATGCTATTTTAAAAAACATCTGCAGACAGGTGAAAGCAAAAGCACTGATTGTGTCGTTACAGGTGGATCTTTTAGTTCATCATCGTGTCTGACTTCGAGGTGCACAAAGGTTTTAAAGTTAAATCTCAAATTAAGTGCATGAAGGAGCTTTTTTTAAATATTTTGAGCTTCTTTTGCACAAAAATCACCTGATGTTTGTAGTTTTGGGACAAAAAGCAATGAAGCAGGAGCCAGAAAAGAAGTTTATATGTAAGTATTAATAATGATAAACTGATATGCTCTCCTCAAACCGGCATTACAGCTTTCTCTGTGCAGCGGATCAGACGTTTACATGCTTCTAGACTTTCTGTAGGACAACAAACACCAACGGGGACGCAGCTTCTCTGACAAAAAGTCGCTCTGAACAACAGGAGTCATAATCCTCCAACAAATGGGGATGATGCAGCGTAATATGATGACAATAACTTTGTTGGTACAGCACCTTTCAGAACACACAGTCACAAAGTGCTTTAACAAATAAGAGAAAACAATAAAAATGACAAACAGTGAGGGCGAATAAGAAGGCAGTAAAATCGTACAAATAGAAGCATCAGTTGCAAAAAGACCAAACAATAAAAGTGAGTTTTAAGAAAAGAGGAAAAGCGGACTTTCCAGACTTTGGGGGCTCAAAGTGTGAAGGTTTGGTCGCCTTTAGAGGCCAAACGGGACTTCAGAAGGGCCCCAACAGTGGATCTCAGGCTGCATTCAGGCTCATCAGGGAATTCTTAATTCCTGGCTTTAAAGACAAGCAGTAAAAATCTTAAAATCAATCCTAAAACCTACAGGTAGCCGGTGAAGGGCAGCGAGGAATGGTGCCATGTGGTCGCCTCTCAAAAACAACCCCCGAAACTTGAAGTTATCTTAATTTTTTTAGCCTTTTGTAATTTCTTGTCCTGCCTCTTCCTGCCTGACCTGCATCCAGCCGCTTTAACGTGAGACACCGATGGAAACAGGACTAATCGTCTGCAACATTTTAATGTTATAAGACAATGAGAATTGGCGTTTGACCAGTCTGAAAGTAAAAATGGGCTAAAATATTACAGATGACAGTCATATTGAATCATTTTAATGTGAATATATATGCAGGTCATCTGTCGTTACGAACTGCGAAGCTTTATTCAGCACCATAACATACTTTGCTGACAGCCTTCACTCTGGAGACGTCTTGCATGATGGAAACTTAAAGTCTTTTCTTTGTGCACGTCACGCAACGTACAGTATTCTGCTTCACACCTTCTAGGCACAGTGACGACGGCACAAAACTGTCACATTTCCTGCTTTTCTAGCCGGTGTCAGGGGTTTGTTTTTGATAATGAGGCGTCGTCCACACCAGGCAGGTGGTTTAAAGCGGCTTACATCACCTGAAATGCTTCAGTGTAGCGTGCCTGCATGGTGTCCCACTTTCATCTTTTGTTGTCCAAGTTCACTCCGACTGTCACCAGGAGCTAAAAACAGAGTCTGGAAACCTTTCGTCGTCACTCTTGTCTTGTTCTGGAGTCTCGTAATGTGGATTTGCAGGTTTACTCTGTTTTTACCTTTTGAACCTTGACAACGTGAGGACGCTGCGTAATTATACAGTGAGAAAACCTGCAGGGCCTTTCAAAGAACTGTACAAGAACTAAGAGGGTGACAAGCGCTAATTATCTTTTACCTCGACAGACAGAAGCTCCTCGAGTGACAGGATGTTTTCTTTGTCTTCCTTTGTGCAGGACGCAGAGTTCTCACCATCCAGGGTTCGAACCTCGGAGGCCGAGACAATAGCAGCGTGGTGTTGGTGGGCGGGGAGGAGTGCGTCACCGTGCAGTGGACGGAGACCAGCATCACCTGTCTGCTGCCTGTGCTGCCGCCGGGGCTGCACAAGGTGGACGTACAGGTCGGCAACAACGGATACCCCCAGACCAGGTAGAAACCCACACGGACAAATGATGGAGTCGTCATGGTGGCTCCGACTGTTTTGTTCAGTGGGGTTTGTGTCGTGTGCAGGTTGGGTATAAGAGCTTTTATCCGAAACCGTACATCATGAAAAATGTCCAGTGATTTAGATTTTCAAATATAAGCAACAGGAAACAAAACGACTCAGACAAAATTAAAAATCAAATTAATCCGAAAAGTCAGAAAACACAACAAAAAAGACAAAATGGAGGAAAAACAGATATTTACACAAGTTAGTTTTTCTTGTTTATTTCTTTTTTTATATCTTTAGTAGTGGAGAAAAAAAAAACTTAGACATTGTGCCTCAGTGAAGTTGCAAAGTCAAAATATCATCAGTGACATCCTACAGTTGAGACTTTTTAATATTAATAAACCAAAATTAAACTCTAAACACAATGGCTCATATCTAATACAGACAAAAAACCCAACAATCCAAAAGCTAAATTAACCACAAAAAAAAAGCCAGAAAACACAACAAATGAATAAAAAAAAGATGTTCACATAAATTAGTTTGATTTTTGTTATTTATTTTCTTCAGTGGTACAAAAAATTGTAGATACTGTGCCTCAGTGAACTTACAAAGTCCAAATATCATCAGATATCATCAATAACATCCTACAATTTAGATTTTCTAACATTAATAAACCAAAATCCAGCTCTTGACACAACGAGTCATATCTAATACAGACAACAAAAACAATAATCCAAACGCTAAATTAACCTAAAAAAAAGAGAGAAAAAAGTCAGAAAACATAACAAATGACTAAAAAAATGAAAGATATTTACATAAAGTACTTAAATTTTTGTCATTTCTTTTCTTCCATGGTGAAAAAAAAACTTAGATTCTGTGCTCCAGTAAACTTAGAATGCTACGAGTCCTGCAATATAATAATAATATTATAATTAGTATCAGTAGTATCAGTGTTTAGACTCATTTTTCATAGCAATATAAAGTCCTATACCTGTATTAAAACAGCACAACAATGGCTTGTCTATGGTTAAAAAACAACAACAACACAATGACCCATGTCTAATACAGAAAACAAATAAAACAAGTTAAATTAGTATTTTTTTAAAGTCAGGCAACACAGCGAATGGTTTCAAAGCAAAAGCTGTTTGAAAAATTAGTAACCTTTTTGTCATTTCCTCCAGTGGTGAAAGAAAGAACTTAGCGTCCTGTAGCAGCTTAAGTTCCCCTTAAAACTGTCCCATTGTGGTTATTTATTGGTTATTTATAATAAAACATTGCAGCTGATATTAATATCTAAATATTAACTCACAAGAGTCAGTCTTGGACTTATTATGAGTGTTTTTCCTGTCGTAGCAACGGCGTGAACGCGACCATCGAATACATCCTGGAGGTCCACAGCATCTCCCCGTCGTCTGGGTCTTTAATGGGAGGAACCATGCTGACGGTGTCCGGCGCTGGTTTCAGCAACAACACAGCCGACAACAAAGTGTCCATCGGTGAGCAACGTGTGGAGCGGCAATTTAGACAGTTAGGGACGTCCTGAGCTCCGTCCTTTGGTCCTCATCGGTATCCGCAAGAGTGCCAGCCCAATCCTGTGTTTACATCTGCTGTTAGGGGTTGTAAATTTGAATAATTTGCTTAAAATAGGTAGCAATATCAGTTAGTAATCAAGTACCTAATGTCTCTCTACGGTATTAGACAGCAAGAGGCTCCATCTGGTGGCACTACCAGTTACTGCAGCGAATCTACAGTATTTTCCTACAATCTACCAATACTACAGTACTTTTCATTGGTCTTGCGCTGGTGTTACTTGCAAAGTCACTGATACACTGATCACCTAGTTGGTCCCCAGTTGGTGGTTGTCCTCTGGTCAGAAGTCATGGGGCCTGTTTTCTAGCTAAACCCCCGCAGTGCTCTCGAGTCTGATTCAGATTTGTTTGTTTGTCATAAGCAGGTTAATACAAAGTCAACTACGCAATGAAATGAGTAATGAAATGAAATGAGAAATGAATCAACTCACCAGAAAAACTAAAAAATACTGGAGAAATTAAGTCTTAAAAAGTCTAAGTAAGGTTTTCTGGAGAGCAGAATTTGTGGTTGGATGCCAGGAATTTTTAATAATTGTCTTTAGCAATAATTGGTAGTGTTATCAGTGAGTAGTTATTGCCTTGATAACACAACACTAGCATGGTGGACATTTGTTCAAAACTCATATTACAGTTTCAGTCAAGACATACACAGTTTGGACCACAAAGGAGGCTCCGTCACATCTGTCTCTAGGACATAAGAGCATTATGTTAATCAGTCTCAGCTCGTCTTAAACATTCGAGCTCTGGTCAGATTTCATTCAGCGTCATAGAAGTCTTGGTGCCCGTTGCTAGCTAAACCCCCATGGTACCAACATGAACTGTCTATAGTTTGAGTAACGACTCTTCTGGTTTCTACAGTAGTAGACAGTAAAAGTCTCCACCTGGTGGCACAACCAGGTACTACAGCTGATCTACAGTATTTGAATGGCCTTGCTTATCGAGGAAAACGGTATGCGCAGACACTAAATGCTAAATGACTTGAATCAGGGGCAACAAACAACTTCAGCCACAGTTCTAATGTATACCAACAAATGTTTTTTTTAATCTCGTCAGATATTAGGAACTATATTTTTATACATTGACAGTAGCTGGTGGGAGTCTGTGATGATGTAACAACATGCAAATATGGAAAAGTACAATTATTGCTCTCATTCAGCGTCATAGAAGTCTTGGTGCCCATTGCTAGCTAAACCCCCATGGTACCAACATGAACTGTCTATCGTTTGAGTAACGACTCCTCTGGTTTCTGCAGTATTAGACAGTAAAAGTCTCCACCTGGTGGCACAACCAGGTACTACAGCTGATCTACAATACTTGAATGGCCTTGCTTATCGAGGAAAATGGTATCCGCAGACACTAAATGCTAAATGACTTGGATCAGGGACAAACACAGTTCTAATGTATACCAACAAATGCTTTTTAAATCTAGTCAGATATCAGACACAAAATGTTTATACGTTGACAGTGGCTGGTGGGAGTCTATGATGATGTAACAACACGCAAATATGGAAAAGTACTATTATCGCTGAGTGGAATCAAATTACACAAATGATCTCACTCGTGTTTTGTCCTGCGACAGGAGATGCTCGGTGTGAAGTGACGGTCGCCTCGGAGAACGAGCTGCGATGCGTCGTGCAGTCGGAGCAGAAGATTCACAATGTCACCAACCAGGGATCCCACCACAGTAGGTTTTACATTTCCGTCCTTTGTTCAGGTGTCAGACTAAATCCGAGCATTCTGAAATGGAGTTCAAGACAAACAAGATCAACTTACGGAGAAGCGCTGCGAGCGAGGAATCTGTCACCGGCAACTTAAATATGACTGCGCCTCGAAAGTGTTTGGAAACCAAAAATCTGAAAACCAGTTTGCCCTCTGACGGTGCATAATTACCCATATTTAAATGGGGTTTGCAAGTATTTAAATTACATGTTAGGTAAACCTCAGACAATGACATCTATCTAGTGTTTGTTACTGTATCTGTCTATTTTTGTCCTGTTTCCTGCGTGTGAATTCTTTACCCTGTATGTTGCAGCGTACGGACAGGGATATGCATGGAGTCCTTCCTCACTCACAGTGTTTGTTGGAGACACGGTGATGTGGCGCTGGGAGGCACCTCTGTTCCAGAAAGTCGGCTACCGGGTCTTTAGTGTTTCCAACGCCAGCTCCGCCACTCCTGGAAGGGGACCGCTCAACAGTGGAGAGATGAAGACTGCCAAAGGTAGAATACCGAGGCAGGAATCCACAGATTTACAGTCAAAAAACTTTCCCCTCGTTATCTCCAATTAAAAGAACATTCGTCCCTTAGTGTAAATTTCTCTGCACTATATCATAACTGTGATGCTTTACTTCTTCTTTTTCTAGTTATAGCTGAAGCTCATGCTTTCTTGGTTTGCATTATGATCCATGTTTGTCCTATTCTAGCAATACCACGTTTTATCTCCCTTTGATGATGACGCTCAATTCCACTCAATTATCCGCTTGTTATCAAACTCTGCTGTAGCTGATCTTAAAACATGATCTCATTTTGTCTACCTTTGACCTTCTGAGAATGGGAAATACCAAACAACAAGGTGGATTTTTACTTTAGTGTTGCACAATAAACAAGAAACGTGTTGCGTCACACCTTTTAACATGGGGGAGATGGGCAAAGAAAAGGCCTTGTGGAGGAAAGTTCTGTGGTCAGATGGAACACAAATTAAGCCATGTGACCACAATGACCAGTAGTACACAATTGCAGGAGAGAAGGTGAGGCCTTTAACCCCAAGAACACCAAACCTACCGTCAAGCATGGTGGTGGCAGCATCATGCTCTGGTGAGGGTTACTGCCAGTGGTACTGTAAAGGCAATCACGTCCTTTAGGAAATCCTAAAATCATCAGTCAGAAGGTCTTGGACACAAGACAATGACCTCAAACACACATCAAAAGCAGTAAAGGAATGATTAAATCAGGTAGAATTAAGGTTTTAGACTGGCCTCCCCAAAGTCCAACTTAAACCCATCAAGAACCTGTGGACGGAGACGAAGAAACAACTTTCTTTCAGAAAGCCGACAAATGTATTTGAACTGTTCAGAGTAATGGTCAAAGATGCAAACAGAAGCTTGTGGATGGCTACCAAAATGTGAAAATGGCAAAAGGACATTTAATCAAACATTAGCTTCTCTGTACGTGTACTTCTTGACCCAGCAGATTTTGTCATATTTCCAGAAGTCCTATCATAAATCCAAAATGCAGGATTGTTTTTTTGTGACAAAGATGCATGTGTTTCAAGAGTTATAGGAGTCATTGCACACTCGAGGCTGCCATCCCACACATGGTGTATGGAAGTATTTGTTCACAACTTACTATGCTTCATGTTGTAATGTAACATGTTTGCTCTTCACTCAGGGTTTCACAGCTACCAGTTCACTGCTCCCGGTGTGTTCCTCTACAGCAGCGGCTACATAGACAACAAAAAGGCCATCATGCTGCAGGGAGTTGTGAAAGTTAGGAGTCGGGTAGAGAAGACCAGCAAGGTCTCCGTCAGCGTGGGAGGCATTCAGGCCAAACTCATGCCGGGAGGTAAAGATGTGGATATGACGCTCTGACTCAGAAGCTTCAGCAAATCTGAAAGTGTAAAGCTAATGCTGTTACGTTTTGACGAACCTCCCCTGCAGGTTCACGTCGCGTCTCCAGAGCAGCACCGCAGTGCGTCGCCTCCCCACAGTGCCAGCAGACCAATGAGACTTCCGGCGGATTCTCCTACAGCACCTCAGCCTGCTCCACCCCCACAGTCCACTCCATCTCCCCCAACCAGGGCTCGTACCACCAAGTCATCCGCATCCAGGGAACAGGCTTCAGCAACATCACCTGCGCTAATGAGGTTAACGAACTTTTCTAACTTATAGCTAAACAGGTTTAAATCTGAGATGTCTTCTTCGGTCACTCAGGTACTTTCTTCTTGAAAAAAAAGCGCAAGTTTACAAACACTGCTACATATACCCTTTATTGAGATCCTGGAGAGTGCATTTTGTTTGTTCCCAGTCAAAGGGGAAATCCAGGTATAGCTTGTCTTTCTTCCTACGCCCAAGAAAGTCCTGCATTCAGAGCACCTGGATTCAGGTGTCTTTATGCTACAACTACTGAGACGCTTTAACTGCACTCAGAGGATTTTGCTAATTGTGTGACTTCCAGAACCAATTGTCTCATGGGGGGAATTTGGTCGGTCACTTTGAAGGGGGTGAATAGTGCCAAATTAAATTAACCAGGATTGAATGTTGGAAAGCAATAAAAGGGGAAAACTTCCAACTATATTCTGTGATTCTTCATCATCTTGTCTTGCCCAAAACCTTTTCTTGATGTTGTTAAAGTATCTTGGCCTTTTGTACCATCCTCTAATAAAATGAGGTGAGTTCTGGTCCCAAGTTTGTTGAGCGTGATGTTGTTCTGTTTTGTGTTCTGCAGGTGATGGTTGGAGATCAGCCCTGTCAGGTGATCAACAGCTCCCAGTCGGAGATCACCTGCCAGCTCGGTCCAAACAGCGAGCTTCCCACCGGCGTCGCTCTCGCCGTGTCCGTCAGAGTGAACAACCTCGGCGACGCCATCATCGCTGTACAAGACGAGCTCAAGCGTCGCTTCGTGGTCCTGCCCGTCGTCGACTCGGTCTCGCCTCCTATCGGCAGCACCACCGGCTACACCCGGCTCCTCGTCCGCGGTTCTGGCTTCTCCTCGGGACGAGTGACCGTGGCCGGTGAACCCTGCAGCGTCCTGACGCTAAATTACACCCACATCGTCTGTGACACCGCTCCGTCTCAACCGCACACCGGCGATGTCGTCTTTCACAAAGGCCGGATCCAAAGTTCCTGCAGCTCCAGCTGCTCCTTCGTCTACTCGTCCGCCGTCACCCCGACAGTCACCGGCATCTCCCCCGACACCATTGACACCGCCATCAACGTCACCATCTCCGGCTCAGGGTTTGGCAGCCGCGTGGACGACTTGTCGGTTTTCGCCAACACCACAGAGTTAGAAGTCACGGCTGTTACCGACGGTAACATCACGGCGACGGTTACCGCCCTGCCTGCAGGAATCCACTTGCTCAGGGTGACGGTGAGGAGCAAAGGCCTCGCATCCGGATCCGTCACCCTGAACAGCCGAGCCAAGGCCATCCTGAGCCCCACCGCCGGCAGCCTGGCGGGAGGAACGCCACTCGTCTTCACTGGAAACGGCTTCGCTCCGGGAAACACCAGCGTGACGGTTGGCGGGAAACCCTGCGAGATTCAGACGGTGACGCCGGCCAGACTTCGCTGCCTGACGCCTCCTCATGCCGAAGGACTGGTGACCGCCAACATCCGGGTCTTGTCCGTGGATTATCCTCCGCTCAACTTTACCTACTCTGCAGCCCACACTCCGGTCATCAGCTCCGTCAGCCCCACCACAGGTATGCCGTAAAAATTACGGGTTTTTTGTTGTTGCTGTTTTTTCTGTTTGTTTTTTTTTAACAATTTACTGCTATTTTACAGATTTTGACTGTTTTGTTAAATTATAGATACTAACTGATGAAGTCACAGAAAAAAGTAATTTAAATTCATAAGGTCTGCAAATAAAATTCTATTAATTTGAATGTGAACTGTAAAAACAACAACAACCAAAAAAAAAAACTGGCTGAAATTGTAAATAATGTCCATATAATTTTTTTTATTTATTTATTCTTTTTCTTTTTCTTTTTTTTTTTTTTACAAAGGGTCTTTTTTCACACTTGAAAACTGAATTTTTGAAAATCTTTTTTAGAGTATTTAAAATTATATTTATATACAAACAGGGGAAAAATCTGTGAAACAATATTTTTTTGCTTGTTCAAATAGTTTAAAATACTGGGGAAAAAATTTAATTAATCAAATTTGCTGTAATTTTCATCTGTGTTTTTCATGCTGAACATTACAGTGTTGTACAGTTTCGTAATGTGTTTTATTTTCTGACACCATTTCTGTTAGATTTTTACAATTTATTTATTTTTTAGCAGTAAAAATATTCTTCCTTTAGTACAAGCAGGGACCTGGATACTGTTTATTCATTATTTTGATTCAATTAATTTAGATTTATTGTACTTTTTTAGTGAACAAAGCCACAGTATTCAGCAACTTTAGTCACAGTTGTTATTTTATGAGATCATTCGTTGAGGAACTCGTTTGTCTGGAATTCATTTCTGTATTATTTACATGAATTCCTACTTTTGGTAATACATTTATAATACAATATGCTTGTCCTTTTATTAATGAACCACCAGTGGTTGGGGTATGACTATTATTTTTTTGGGTCTCGTGCACACAACCTTTCTGGTCGTAGATGCCCGTTCGTTGGTGCTCTAATGACACCAGTGGTTCTGAAAGGTTGTGCACAGAGCCTTTCAAGTGATTTGATTTTAAACACAGAACATCCACACGTTAGTAAAAAAAAATAAAAGAACGTACAGCAGAAAAAAACCACACAGTGTCTCAGATCTGGTGTTTGACATTCTCCTCCTTGGTTGGTTTCACACAGGACCGAGCGGATCTGTCGTGACGCTCACCGGTTCAGGATTTGGCAACGACTCTCAGCTCGTCTCGGTGACCATAAATGGCGTTGCCTGCAACGTGTCCATGGTGTCGGACACTCAAGTCCAGTTCACGGCAGCAAACAACCCGGGAGGAGCCTACAAAGTGATGCTGCTTCACCAGGACAAAGGCTACGCCCAGTCAGACGCCATGTTCACGTACGAACTGAGGCTCGACACCGTGACGCCCAACGAGAGTAAGCAGACAGTGATGCTCTGTCATATTATTGTTATTTAAGGTGCCAAAATGAAGCTCATATAGAGCTTAAAGGTAAAAACTATAAGTGTCCCCATGCAACTTTTAACATCTTTGGGCTTTTACTTTGAAAGTGTATCAATCAGCCAATCAGCTGTGAGTCACTGGCTGCTTGCAGTGAGCAGAGCAGACAGTTTAAAAAGTCATATTGAAAAAACTGTTTCACGGTGTGAAGCACAATCTTGTTTTGAACACGCAGATGTATTTTCATGTCCGTGCTGTGTTTTATACAGATTTAGTGGCAGGTTAAAGAAACTCACCATTTGTGATTTTCACACGAAATTTTGGAGATAGAGATCCGATATAATGGAAGTCATTGCGTTTTGATCGACGCACTCTGAGCCCTGAGGTGATTTATGAAAAAACCACATGTCCTGTGGTAATGAGAGTCACACTGGATGAAAGAGGACAAAAGTACCGATATTTTTATGTATGAATTGTTTATGTGCAGTAGAAATTGTGAAAAGGAGACAAGGTTAAGGTTTTCAGAAAATTCATAAAACCTAAACTGCAACTGCACTAAAACGATATAAAAACACTGATTTAGACGAATCACATTTAAAGCCTTGTGACACATTTGAACTTTGAATGAAGCTGTAAGATCTGCCGGAACTACAGGGCTGCAAAGACGGCTGGATTTAGCTGTTGTCTGGTTGACTTCCCATTTATGTCAATGGGGATTTTTTTTCACGCAGTTTTGAAAGTCTTAGCGCACAATTCCCGATTGAGCCGCAAGTTTTGATATGCAATTTGTGTGGGTTTTCTCAAAGCTGTAGGATGAGTTAGGAAAGAAACTCACGTCGGAAGAATCTAAAAGAATAAGCCAGAAAAGTCCCAAACAGGAATCAGAAGAGAAATCTTTAAAAGTGAATCTGCATATTTCAGCTGCGTTGTCTTTCTGTTACCATGTTTGTATTTGTTCTTGTAGTGTGATGTGACACACTGCTTCAGTTTGTTTTTTTTTTTTTTTTAAATCATCTTGCTGAATAATTTCTGTCCGTCTCACCTGCGGTTCAGGTGGTTTCGGCGGCGGCAGACTGTTGTCCCTCCTCGGCTCCGGCTTCTCGGAAACCTCCGTGGTGAAGATCTGTGAGCAGGAGTGTGTCGTCAGCAGAGAAACGTCGACGTCCACCCGCCTTTACTGCGAGGCTCCACCCAACAACGGTAACTTCAGTGATTTCTCTCTTTTTTTTTTTATAATGCCATTAAAATGTGTTTTTTTTTTTGTTGGTTTGTTTTTTTGATGACATCACAACGGCAGATAACTTAATAACTGGCCAATAATAAAAGTCCTAAACCGATAGTGTAATAACTTATTATGTTCTTGGCTGGTTATTACATCTGCAAAGATTTTTTATTTATTTATTTTTTTACCAGGCCAATAACATGATAACTTATTATTGGCCAGAAGATATTAGGTTGTTGGTTCAGGACTTTTATTACGTTATCGGCTTCTACAGGGTGTCTTTTCAAAAGTAGTAGAGAGTAGAGAGATACAGATGTTAAAGATGAGAGTTGAAATGTGATGGATTATGTTACCTTTACTTTGTGTAATAGCATTTTTTTTAAAAAATCATTTCAACATTTCAAACACTGTTTTTGCATCAGATTCTATAAAGACTTTATATTGCAGTGAGAAATGAGCTCACACTAAAGAAACAAATGACAAGAAACATCCACTGCTTGGAGTTCAGGGGGTAAAGACAGAAAAGCCTGCTCATTTTCTCATCCGCAGCAAGTTTATTTTTCTTTGAGAAAGAATGTGCTCGTGCAGGTTTCTGTTTGGTTCTGTTCTGTCGGAGTTGTGTGCAGACTGACTGTGTTTGAGGAATGCCGTCAGCCTCGTGGTTGCAGCAGAGAACACGTCCGATGAGACGATAACTCGTCACGGTGTCTGAGCGAGTTAATTCCACCTCTCTGCTGCCGTTGCGTGAACCCGTTCGTCTTTGTGCGGTTTTTGTCCCGTGTGATCTCAGGGACTCAGTCGGAGCTGGACTGCGACATCTCCGTCATCAACCCGCTGAGCTCCGTCAACAAGTCCAGCGCCTTCACCTACAGGTCCCGGCTGACTCCGGTGATCACCGAGGTTTCTCCGCGCAGGGGAGGCACCGCCGGAGGCACCCGGCTCACCATCTCTGGCTCTGGTTTCAGGTGGATGAAGAGTTTCTGCAGAAAAAAAAAAACAAACCCACACACATGACACAATAGATGAGACACACCCAGGATACGGACCGCTGCTCACAAATCAGACTGACTAAACCCATCTGCTTCTCTGTCATGGGAACCTTCAGGAGCATCTTGAGTCTAAACCTGAATACAGTCGTCCTCAGATCTATTCATCCCCGTCCATTAAAGAAAAGGCAAAATCCACAACAGTCACTCACATAACTAGAAACTGAAAAAAGTAATAATAAATATAAATTTGCTAAATTATAATTTAGTGAAATAAGATATTGCTTTTGAATTGTCGGTGAAAAGAATAATAATAAATAATAATAAAAAATGTCCTTGACAAATGAGAGGCCTTTGCTGATGAGCAGTGGTCCAGAACACCTGTCAACAGGTGCAGAAGTCTGATTGACGGTTACAGGAAACACCTGATGATGGCAGTGATTGGTTCAAAGGGTTGTTCAACTAGATACTAGTTTACGGGTCCCATCATGCTTGTTTGCTTGTTTTTAAAAAAAATATTTCTGTTGAATCACAATTCAAAACCAATGTCATGATTTTCGTTAAATTTTTATTTTTTATTACTTTTGTCAGTTTCAGCTTATTTCAGTGATTGAAGCTGTTGTTTTCCTTCTTTAATGGGAGGGTATGAAGACATCTGAGGACGACTATAACATATAAAACGAGATACTGCAGTGTTTTTGTGATTTTCCTTTTTTAAAAAATAAAGCTTCTGTTAGAAACAGCCCAAATGACAAAACTTCTGAACTCTAGCTGGAAAGAAAATTCAGGATTTTCAAACATGTATGAAGCCTAAACTGTGACAAAACGGTTAAAGATATCAAAACATGGGTAGAAATGAACAATATTCTGACTTCCCATTTGTTTCAATGGGGATTTTTAAAGCAGTTTTTGTACAAATTTTGCAAAAGCTGTATGACAAAACACTAACACACCATTCCTGAATGAGTCGCATAGTTTGAAGTATAATTTGTGCGGTTTTTCACAAAGCTGTTGGAAGAGTTAGGTGCTGAAATATCAATCAATCCGTCAGTCAGACTTTATTTCTGTAGCACTTTTCATACAAGCAGAAATGCAACACAAAGTGCTTCCTCCACTGTCAGATAAATGAAGGCATATCTTCACAGAAAGTAGAAGTACAATAAAACAATACAAACAACCCCCCACCGTCAAGTTATCAATAAAAGGACTCTAAGACACTAAGGAAACGCTATCATCCTGTTTAACACGGCCAACGAGGAAACACCAGGTGAGATAAAATGAAATAAAATAAGCTAGATGAATAAATAAATAAATAAAATAAGATACCTATTATTATTAAAAGATGCAAAAATAAGGAGTTTTAAGAACAGAATAAGAAATGGCAAAAATGAAGTAATAAACGGTTCAATAAAAAGAAATAAATAACTCAAAAAATAAAATATATCGATCAAATCAATCAAAAGCCTGACTAAGGTAGGCCTTGAGTTTGATTCTGTGTGTTTCAGTTGCACATTTTATTTATAGTAGGAACATTTTAGGAAGATTTTATAGACCAGTAATATGTTATGTTCTTGTGCCTTTAATATCTAGCAAAACATTCCTGAGATGTGGGTCACAATACAGTTTAAAATATCAGATTTTATTTAGTTTACGTTTATCTTGTGTTCTTTGTTTGCGCCTCACAGCTCTGATACGAGCAAAGTGAACGTGACGATCGCAGGATCCGTGTGTGACGTCCAGTCGGCCAACGACACTCACATCGTCTGTGTGACCAACTCTCAGAAACAGTCTCAGGAAACCAAAGTCAGGGTCAACGTGGCCGACCGAGGCCTCGCCAAGATGGTAGGAGAGGACGGCTCAGACCTGCCTGTAGATTCATTAACGGTGTTGTCAGCCTGATTTCATGACCACCACGGCGTCTCTTCCCGACTTTCAGGACAACGCAGACTTCTTCTACGTGGACGTGTGGTCGTCCAGGTTCACGTGGGGAGGTCTGTCGCCGCCCGAGAAGGGCTCCTTCGCCGTCATCACCAAAAACCAGACCATCCTTCTGGACACCAGCACGCCGGTGCTCAAAATGCTCCTCATTCAAGGTGCAAAACCATCTTCATACATTTACATTTTTTACATTTTGTGCTCACTCAAGACTTATTAAAAAGTGAAATATGTTTTGGACATGAACAAGCATTGTGTAGATTCAGAACTGTTTTGGTGTAACTGGTGCCAATAAGATAATATATTATAATGAAAACAGTATTTGTAGAGAAATTCTTAGTTTGTCATAATTCAAAGTGCAAAAATCAATTCATAGGACTTCTTAAGAAGTGATATATGTTTAATATCTGATTTTTGGAGTGTAGAATTAATTGATTTTAGGACAAAAACAAACTTAGTTCAGATTTGCACTGGTGCAACTTTAATATATTAAAATGAAGAAAAGAAAAACATTTGCAAAATTCAAACTTTCAGAGAAATTCTTGTCTTTATTCAAAGTGCTAAAGACTGTTTTTAACGGACATTTTTAGGTAAAGACACAGTGTGTATTTTTTAGTTTTTCATTGTTCCGGTCTCTAAAGACTTCTCAAGAAGTGATCTATGTTTGATGTATGGTTTTTGGAGTGTTGAGTTAGTTGATTTTAGGACAAGAACAAACTGTCTGAGTTCAAATTTGCATTTGTGCAACTGTTGCCAATGATTCTTGTTTCTGAAGATACACCAAAGGGGTTTTTTGTTTGTTGTTTTCTCATTTTCTGGTGACTCAAGACTTCCAAGAAGTGAAATATGTTTTGTGCACCATCTTTGAGTGCCAAAATTAGTCAGTTTTAGGACACAAACATTGCATTGGTGTAGCTGGTGCTAACAGGCTGCTACGTTAAAAAAATTAGCGAAATTGAAACAGGAATTATTCGCATGTCATCAGTGTAAAAGTAATTTCTCTTTTTCTGAGTTTGTCCGCTGCTGGTTCTTTGTGCTCAGGAGGGACGCTGGTGTTCGACGAAGCCGACATCGAGCTGCAGGCAGAAAACATCCTGATTACGGACGGCGGGCGGCTGCAGATCGGCCAGGAGGGGGCGCCGTTCCAGCACAAGGCCATCATCACGCTTCACGGACACCTGCGATCGCAGGAAATTCCTGTTTATGGAACCAAGACGTTGGCGGTCAGAGAGGGCATCCTGGACCTGCACGGTATGAACACATTAAACCATCGTATACACAAGATGTGCAGTGAATTTATTTATGAAGTGAAACAGGAAAAATACAACTTGAAAAACTTCCTGAACCAGTATGTTTGTTCTAGGCCAAAGCTGACACTGATTATTAGTTAATATATGTGGAACTTTGCAGTAAAATAAAAGTCTTGGTGTCAAACGTACATAAACACATAAATACAAAACTTTGCCTGCATTTATTTACACGTCCTGTGTTTATTTTTATTGTTTTTTAATTAAAAATGTAGCAACATTGGCTGCATTGGAGCAAAAGTGGACGGTTTTTAAATTAAATTGTTTCATCTGAAATCAATAAAAAGACAAATAACATTAAATATTTTCAGGAAAATGCTGGACATCGGATCAAATAATCGACTATTTAAAGGTGTACTCTAGGAGTTTTTTTTTCTTGCAGTCAGTTAACAGTGAAGAATAAGTAAATACGAAGCTGGAAGCAGGAGAAATTTAGCTTATCTTAGCATAAAGACTGGAAGCAGGAGGAAACAGCTAGCCTGCCTTTGTCTAAACGTATGCTAATGGGTTTTTGTCCATATGAATAAACAAATAAGAAACAACTTGTTAGTGAGTAGATTTAGAAGTGCTGGTAGATTTTATTACTTTTAGATTAGGTTAAGGTAGTTGTTTGCCCTTTTGCCAATGTTAATGTTAAGCTAAGCTAAGCTAATGGTCTCCAGCTTCCAGCTTTGTATTTACTATAAAAATGGCATCAACTTTTTTTTTTTATTTAACTTGCAATAGGAAAGAAAGTGAATGCACTTAAGTATTCCTTTTAATGCCAGATTATTGGATAAGTAGATTAGCAGCATCCCATTATTTTTTAGTCTCAATGCTAAACTGAATTAGCAATTCCCCTGTTTCCAGTATGTATGCTAAGCTAGCCAGCTGCTAGGTTAAGTAACACCAAAGTGAATAAGTTGATTTTCCACAATGTTCTTTTAAATTCTTTCATTTTAAACAGCTGGTTAAATTATTCTCTGGTTAAATTAGGTTGTAATTTAACCCTCTGAATCCCAAAACCTGCCAGTGAATTTAAAACTTTTCCAAGTCGGTCATCTTCTGCAGATCCAGGAATAATAGAAACTGTGCAACAGAAAACACTTTTGACCTAAATTTTCCAAGAGCCCTCATTAAATGTCATTATGTCATGTGACGGAGAGTAATTTGAGTTCTTCACCCTGCAGGGGAGTTATTATTCTGCCCTCCTCAGGTGAGACTCATTGTTGACAACCTGTTTCTCCAGGTATTCCCGTCCCCGTCCCCTGGACTCACCTGGCCCAGACGGCGGCCAGCGGCTCCGCCACGCTGACCCTGATGAAGGCCGTGACGTGGAAGGTGGGAGATGAGATCGTCATTGCCTCCACCGGCCACAGGTACAGCAAGACCTCCAGTTAATGAAAACGTACAGTCGTCCTCAGATCTATTCATCCCCTTCCGTTAAAGAAAAGGCAAAATTCACAACAGTCACTCAAATAACTATAAACTGAAAAAAGTAATAATAAATAAAAATTTGCTAAATTATAATTTAGTGAAATAAGACATTGCTTTGGAATTATGGTCGAAAAGAATAATTTAAAAAAAAAAAAAAAAACAGCAACAACTTAGAGCACTTTGCTGATGAGCAGTGGTCCAGAACACCTGTCAACAGGTGCAGAAGTCTGACTGAGAGTTACAGGAAACACCTGATGATGGCAGTGATTGGCTCAAAGGGTTGTTCAACTACATACTAGTTCACGGGTCACATTTTTTTTTTGTTTTGTTTTGTTTTTTAATATTTCTGTTGAAGCACAATTCAAAAGCAACGTCATGATTTTCAATAAATTTTTATTTATTATTACTTTTGTCAGTTTCAAGTTATTTCAGTGACACCTGTTTTTGTTTCTTCTTTAAAGGGAGGGTATGAAGACATTTGACTGTAAATCCAAGTCATGTAGGTAAAATCTGAGCTACAAAAGCAATTAATTAATGTGGCAGACTATCAGTTTAAAAAAATACATTTCAGATTTTCATCCATGATTTATTAAATCAGTTTTTGGCATCTCAATCGCGATAGCTGGGTTTCATTCAGTAGATTCCGTCTGATTTAGTCGTATATGCACCACCTGGTAGATTTCACTCATTCCTTTTTCCAGACACAGTCAGAAAGAGAATGAAGTGCGGAAGATCGCCGCCGTGTCGGCCGATGGAAGGACCCTCACCCTGGACAAGCCGCTGAACTACACCCACGTCGGGGTGAGCGTGACGCTGCCCGACGGCACCGTGTTTGAAGGCCGAGCGGAGGTGGGTCTGCTCACCAGGAACATCGTGATCCGAGGATCCCGACACCAAGAGTGGACCGACGAGATCAAAGCCTGCCCTGACGGCTTCAACACAGGTGACGTGTTAGAGTTTCTTCTGACCTCAGAGGTTGTTAAACCCTGAACTCTTTGTTAAAGGGAAGTTCCACCAACGTAAAGCGTTTGGTTCAGTTTGGTTTCACACATATTAAAATCTTCCTTCTCTGTGCGCTGTAGGGGAATTCGCCACCCAGACCTGCTTCCAGGGTCGGTTTGGAGAAGAAATCGGCAGCGACGAGTTTGGAGCCTGCATCATGTTTCACGCACCCAGACCCAACGAGAACCTGGCCATCGGCAGACTGGAATACGTTGAGGTGAAAACTCTTTAAATATGTCCTGCTGAAATAAACGCTGGTGCAATGTGTTGTTCTTGGAGTCGTTCCACCTCTGATCTGTGGGTCGAGAGATGAAAAACGACTCCAAGAACCTAAACAAGACGTTCTGTTGTTGTTGTTGTTTTTTTACCAGAAACAAGAATCTACACAAATGTTAGATGATGTAAAAAAAAAATAAAAAGGCTAAAATGACACTAAAGTATAATGTTTTAATTAATGTTGACTAACTGAAATCCAGTGACTACTGTCAAATTAAAAGCCGGTGCCGAGTCACCGCTGCTGGTAGGCCAGAGAGCACTTTGATGGTTTAGCTAGCGATGGACCACCATGACGGACTGCTGTATCGCTAAATGGTGTCCGGACAGGGTTCTAGTGTGGAAAACCAGTCTAAGTTACTCAGGAGAACATTTCTGAGGCTGTGTGGATGATGAAGAAACCATTAAACACCCTTTAATGTCTGTCAGTTATAATGGTTTATTAGCATAAGGATTAATACTCAAAGAACTTTATTCACTTTAATGTTTTAATGATTGTTGGTTGATGAATGTTTTATGTTGACTGATGGAGCTCTGATGACTAAAACTTGAACACTAAGACACATTTTTGTCAAATCAGAATCAGACGCCAAGTTACCGCTCCTGATACTTGTTCTGTACGGCTAGTTGTATTGAACAGATTACTTCATATCCTCAAGATGTCCTCACATAATCACACAAACTGAAATGTTTTACAAAGCTGGAGGTCTCTCTGCTCCTGTGCCTCAGATCACTCACGCTGGACAGGCCTACAGGCTGGGACGTTACCCCATCCACTGGCATCTGATGGGAAACATCAGCTACGCGTCGTACGTTAGAGGCTGCGCCATCCACGAAACCTTCAACAGGGCCGTAACCATCCACAACACCCACCGGCTGCTGGTGGAGCACAACGTCATCTACAACATCATGGGCGGCGCCTTCTTCATCGAGGACGGCATCGAGACGGAGAACATCCTGCAGTACAACCTGGCGGTGTTCGTCAAACAGAGCACCAGCCTGCTGAACGACGACGTCACTCCGGCTGCCTACTGGGTCACCAATCCCAACAACATCATCCGCCACAACGCTGCCGCCGGGGGAACCCACTTCGGCTTCTGGTACCGCATGCATGAACACCCCGATGGCCCGTCCTTTGATAGTAATATCTGCCAGAAGAAGGTTCCTCTGGGGGAGTTCACCAACAACACCGTGCACTCCCAGGGCTGGTTCGGCCTGTGGATCTTCCAAGACTTCTTCCCGATGAAGAAAGGAAGTTGCCGCTCCAAGACCCCCGAACCCGCCATCTTCCATTCGCTCACCACCTGGAACTGTGAGAAAGGCGCCGAGTGGGTGAACGTGGGCGCCGTGCAGTTCAGCAACTTCGTCATGGTCAACAACGAGAAGGCCGGCATTGAAGGAAAGCGGATCATGCAGTGGGCCGTGAGCGGCTTCGGGGAGGACGGCGGTGCGACGATGTCCAACAGCACCATCGTGGGCCACGTGGACGAGCTCGGCCGGCTGAAGAACAACTGCACCCACCGCGGCATCATCACACCCTTCGACGATGGCCTGAGCGTCCTCAACACCAAGTTCATCAACTTCAACCGGGACTCCTGCACGGCCATCGGGGTGACCTCGATTGACGGGACCTGTGTGGATCGGTGCGGCGGCTGGGCGGTCCGGTTCAGTGGCGTCCAGTACTTTAACTCACCCAACAAGGCCGGCTTCAGGTGGGAACACGAAGTGCAGCTGCTGGACACCGACGGCTCCCTCACAGGTACCAAATCTTTAGTCGTTTACTGTTCATTTTTCATTTTTCATCAGTTCTGACTGACGAGTTGGGAGTTCCAGATACTGATATCCTTAAGGAGCCATTAACACCTGAGTTTCGGTTTCAGTTGGGGGTTTGTTGCTCCTCCCCCTTGTTACGCGAGTCGTTAGTACCGTTAGTTAGTAGCAGTCGGGACGAGGTGCATCTTTTATGTTTTATTTTGTCTTCAGGAACCATCAACCAGAGAGTGGTGCCCATGAGCTCCCTGTTGGATCCTGCTCACTGCTCTCAGAGCGCCGAGTGGAGCGTCGGTTTTCCCGGAGCCGTGTGCGACCACACCGTCGACTTCCACCGCCTGGCGCTCAACAACCCATCACCGAGCTCCCTGAAAGCCAAGGACATTGTCTTAACCAACTCGCATGGTATGAAAACACACATTTATCCCTTTAAAGTCTCACTTTCTTGTTGCAGATGCAGTGAATCATTTGTAGCCTTTGCTGACCTCTACTGGCGAGTTCTGGGAATTGTGCTCAAAATCCAAAGCACCCTTCGATTAAATTGGAAAATTTCAATTCTTTTTGTTTCTACAGTTTCGGATTCTAATAAATTGTGTCGTTGCTCTAAAGATAATTTGCATTTTAAACCCTCTGGCAGGTTTTGGGATTCAGACAGTTGAAGTACAGCGCTACCAAATAATATAATATAAAAACCGTCTCATCTGTCGTTTTAAACTCAGGCACCAGTGTGATCCCCTTCCTGAAGAAGAGAATGACCCACAAGTTTGGCTGGATGGGTTTGCTGCCCTCCGGACAAACGTACAACTGGTACTTTGACAACGTGGACCAGGTCACCAACATCACCTACAAAGCCAAGTTCTACGGCTTCAAGGCGAGTTAAAGATCCACCACGTGGCTGATGCTGCTGAACGTTCTGCCTGTTTACGTTCTTTTGTCCTCTTGTTCAGCCCGATCAGTTCGTCATCATCAACCACAACTTCACCCAGAGTCCAGACAGTTTCCGGATCATCGACAAGAGGAACGGATCATCGGCGCCGCTGAGCTTCGGCAACAACTCGAACGGAGACTGGTACTTCGACAACAGCACCAACGACCTCTTCTACATGGGTTAGACGCGCTTTCATATACTGATGTTTGTGCTAATTTAATGATCGATTAAGTTTTTTTTATTTGCAGTCTGAGGTCTCTAATCTCTTATGATATTAAAAAAAAACATATAAGCATTGTTTTCAGTCAAATATGTGTGCGGCTGTAATGCGACATCATATATTGAGTTAAAAAATAATGTGAATTTGTAGCATTTTGTCTTTCCCGACACATAAAAAAAACAATGCAGGTGTGTTTGGTTTCTTTAATCTTGTAAACCAAGACTTTAGATAACAAACTCAAGTATAGACCGAGTGTTGCCGTATCACTGTCTGTTCAGTTCCCACCAACGAAATCAATTTGAACTGAGAAACAGCTTTTTATTATCCTTTTATTTTGTCTACTGTCTTTTAGCTGACTTTTAAACTGTTCATATTTGAGTTGCTGCTGTAGATTTTGATAATAATAAGAATGAACTGGTGATAATAATAATAATATGTAATAGTAATTATTGCATGGCCAGATACACTATTTATTACATCATGTGAGTATTTCTGGGTCTGTGGTTGGAGAACTAATGGTACAGTCCAACCACGGGCACAAAACATATAAAATTAGAATAAGGAGTAGCGTCGTATGTTTGTACAGAAATTAAATTCTGAAGCGAAAACCCCAACGTGAGCAACTAAAAATGAAATTTTACTGAGAGCAATAACACAAATAGATGCACTATATAATACATTTAGCGAGTGTTTGTGCACTCACGGCTGGAGAGATAATGGTACAGCCCAAACACAAGCGCAAAACATAGAAATAGAAAATCAGAATTATGTTTTATTTATGTACAAACATGTGGTTCTGGAGCAAAAACCCAAACAAAACAAAAAAAACAATTTGACTCATTCTGATGATGTAAATGTGCAAAGAACATGATCAGAAAAGTTGTTTTAAAAATGTAAAGTGCTTTTTAAAAAAAATATAATCCTTGGGGGGGAAAAAACATGATCTTGTCCGGCATTTATTATGTTTTATAATAATAATAATAATAATAATACTGAAATAGAGCTTTTTAGGACACTCAAAGCTGCTGCACAAAGCAGGAATGCAAAATAAACCCGTGTCTTGTTTAGTGATGGGCATTCACACCAGTTAAACCTGCCTTCTTACTGTACAGATCTTTATTGTGGCTGTTTCTTGTCTATGAATCCATAAGTATGAATAGTAATAAGCATTAGGATTTTACTGCACTGAACCAGACGTGAACGTGTTCTATGAGAAAATCAATCAGTGTCTGACTTCCTCTCTCGCATTGTTTTCTCTGCAGTATCGGGAAAGACGAGCCAGCGGCGGCGGCGCAGCACCGTCGACCGTTCGATGCGCGACGTGGCGGTGAACTTCGCGGTTTATCGCTGCTTCTTCCCCAACTGCATCCCTCCGCCTCCGCCGCCTCCGGCCACGCTGGCCCCGCTGCCCAACAGCCGGCCGGCAGACTTCATGTAAACCCCCAGCAGCAATGACTTCACCTTCATAAAACTCTCGGTGTCATTTCTAACTGCATATTTGTGCGTTTTTCTCCAGCCTGTGGTCGAATGCGTCGTTCTGGAGTAACTCGGCTGAGAACAATAACTCGGTGCCAGCAGAGGGCGCCGACGTGGTCGTCCCGTCAGGTAACGTGGAGCTTAACGCATCTTAAAGAGCAGACAGGATGATGAATCAGGAAGCTAGATTCAGGTTTAGAGTGGGGTTTTTGCATCTAACATGATTTTGCAGTGGTGGCTCAGGGTTAAGGCTCTGGGTTACAGCTCAGAAGGTTGTAAAAAGAGAATTTCATTGAGCTGAAATGGATTTGTGATAAATAAAGGCTGATTTCTTTCACTAGATAAGGAGGATGGGATGTCCAACTGTTCCTCTAAACTGTCTCTCAACGTTCTGTGGATTCAGTTTGACCACGAAAAATAGTTCATTAATGAGAATTAGTTGCTTTATTATTGACCAGATGTTTAGTCTGAGAGCCGACTGCTTCGACTAAAACCCCTCTGCGTCCGTGTAAATCTTCAGGCATGTGGCTGGTTCTGGACGTGGACCCGCCTCGCCTCAACAAGCTGACGGTGGTCGGAGTCCTGGAGATCCCCGACACCCTGAACAGTTCGTCCAGCCGATCAGCTCGATCCGCTCCCGAGTTCAGGACGGTGGTGGTCGACGCCGTTTACATCTCCATCCAGGTCAGCGTGAGGAGGAGTCTCTCCATCGCTATCGCCTTAAAATCCGTCTGTGTCGTGTTGTTTTAGATCGTTTTTATGACGATGTGTGATACGTGAAACAAAAAGCCAGATTTGAGTTGATGGAGGTGGGGGATGTTCTACAAGATAATTCAGAACTTTTGAGATTTATTGACATTTGCAAGAAGACAAACATGGATACTCTGAGAACAAAGTGGTGAATTGATGAGAAAAAAAAATGTAATATGGATTATTTATTTCTTTGTGATTTTACTGAATATTTTTAATTTAATGATTCCGTGAAATCTGCAAAATGACCATTTGTTGAATTTTACTTTTCTTTATTAATATTCTTTTCTGTGATTTTACTAGTAATTTAACAGAACAGAATAAAATCTGTAAAATTAATTATTTACCATTTTCTTTCTGGGTTTTTGAGATTTATTTACATTTGCAAGAAGAATATCCATGTTTTCTTCTTGCGAGTGTAAATAAATCTCAAAAATTCAGAATAAATTGGTAAATTGACGAGAAAAGAACTCATAAATATAGATAATTTTTTCTGTGATTTTACTGGATATTTATAATTTAACAAATTGATGAAATCTGCAAAATTATCATTTTTGAACCACAAATTAATTTTACAGTTATTTAAGTTTATATTTTGGGGGGGAATTTGATTTTACTAGTTATGTGCAATTTAACAAAACAGAAGAAAATCTATAAATTCAATTATTTGCTGTTTTTTTTTATTCATTATTGTAGATTTTTGTTTTTGTTTTTCAAAAAAGGCAAATATCGGTTTTGCTGTTGTACAGTTTGGGCCTGTTTTTGGTGTTTTTTTACAGTTAAAATATAATTTTATAATTCTTTTGTGATTTTACTGGATATTATTTAGAATTTAGCAAATCAGTGAAATCTGCAAAATAGACATTTTTCAACCCTTCATATGCATCATTGTTCTTTCAAACAACTAAAAATATCTGTAAAATAACACTTTTTACCTTTAATACTTTTTATGTGATTTTACTTGTTATTATATGTAATTAAACAAAACGGGACAATCTGTAAAATCAGTGATGTTCCTTTATTTAAACCTCATTACAGATATTTTGTCTTTCAGATAAAAGTAGATATATATCAGACACTTACAGCCTTAAACCCATAACGAGCTTCTTCTGTGGACAAATGTCAGTTTATGTCTCCGGCACCAGAAGATTCGGTGAATTTTTAATTTTAATGTCACATCAGACTTTAACGGCGAGGATCGGCGTAACAGCAGGTCACAGCTGATTGGTGGCTCACTCCTGGTGCGTTCGTCTCTCCTCGTGTTTCAGGGCGGCCGGTTGATCGCCGGTTGGGACGGCGAGCCATTCAGAGGCGAGCTGCACATCAAGCTGAGAGGAAACCACAAGACCCCCGACTGGCCGCTGCCCAACGGACCCAACCAGGGATCCAAAGTCCTGGGTGAGAAAACAGCGCTCCACCTCAGCCACATGACTGATGATACATCTGCTCCTGTGATAGGATTCGTCAGCACTGCAGCTACGTTTCCACATGAAGAGATCTACAACACTTTGACACATTATATAAAAAAAAAAACCTAAACTGAAAAAGGCTGCTGGTACATAAGAAAATCACAACAACTGACATTAGCAGAGTAGTTACGGAGTCAAAGGAAGCGAATGTACGACTACAGATGTTTGGTTTGAAGTGTGATGTAAATGTGACACAACCTCAGTCCAGAATTCAACGTGAACATGTGGCCGCTGGGGTACTGAAAAACTTCATTTGACAAAATAGTAAAAATCTGTAATGGTTAATTGTTTATATATATATATATATATATATATTTAAAAAAAAAAAAATAAAAAATATGTTTAAAACTGGTTTAAAAAAAAAAAAAAAAAGCAAGGCTAAAAAATTCTCAACACTGGCAATGAGTTTTTAAAATATATTTTCAATACGGTTTTGCCTTATTTACCATTAACAATATTATTTATTTCATATATTTGTACTTGTTTTATTTTTTTGGCACTATTTCTTGGCATCCACTTCGACACTTTGCATTTTGTACTTTGTCTTCTTATTAGGTTTCTGTTTAATTACTAACCTTTCAGTAATTCTTGTTTTTTTTTGTTTTTTTGTTTATTTTCTAACTTTTGTTTATTGTGTTCTGACAAAACTATTTCCTTCAGGATAAATAAAGTTGATCCTGTCTTGTCTTGTTTCTTTGACTTCTGACCAAATCCTTGCAAATAGTTTAATACGTCATGAAAAGTACAGTAAATTCTCGTAATACATTTTTATTGGATTCAATTAGAGCATTTTAAACATTTATTTAAAGCCTTTTTCCAGCTTGCAGATTGGAGCTTTCTGTATCATTATTCTCCTTCAAATCCACGTGTACGACTGAATTACTCCAATATTACAGCATGTCTGTCGTTGTGTGGAGCAGTTACAGTGTTCGTTGTAGGTGAGCTGGTGTGCTCGAGCTGCAGTGCCATGTACAGTTATATTTAGGACATTAGGAATTATTTTGATGTAAGAAGTGTGTGAATATGCAGATGTTTAGTGACGGATGTTTTTGTTTGTAGGTGTGTTTGGGACTCTGGAGCTTTATGGGAAACCTCACAACGTTTATCACACCAAGCTGGCGGCGACAGCTGCTGCCGGATCCAACCGGCTGACGCTGCCGCAGCCCGTCGACTGGCAGGTCGGAGAGCTTCACGTTTATTCTGTGTGTTAAAAGTGACACCAGTCGCCTGTTTACACGCTGCTCCTGTTTGCTGTTTGCAGGTCGGAGACGAAGTCGTCGTCTCAACGACGAGCTACGACATAAACGAGACAGAAAAATGTCAGATCGCTGCCGTGTCAGCCGACGGCCGCACCCTGACCCTGAGCCAGAGCTTGGCCCACACTCACATCGGTAAACACACGACCAAAGATGTTTACAGTGATGAACAACTACTGAAAGCTTCTGTGTTGTTGGTACAACAGCAGATAAATGACTGGATGACCATGAAGGTCCTGATTAAAGAAACCCTGATAAATCACCACATACACTGTAAAAAATAATGTTTTTAACAGCTTACAATGATTATGTATTTTTAGAAATTGTTAATTTATTCTTTTACAACATTTGAATTTCCCTTCTGGGATAAATAAAGTAAAATAAAGTATTTTTCATTTCTTTCATTTCATTTTCATTTGACTGTAAAATTACACTTTTTTTAAAAAAAATTGTATTTAAATCAACAAAAAATATTATTTGACAGAAATTTGCCGCTATTTAAAAATAAAAATATGTCTATAAAAGATTTAAAAATGCTAAATAATATGATAAATAATTTATTTTAAAGCATTTTGTACCATTTTGTTAAATTGAAAATAATAGATTGTAAAAATAAAAAAAAAAATTAATTTACTTTTAGTGTTTTTAAAACAAAACAAAGAGGCCAAAACTGTAAATATTGTCCATATAAAAATCAGTACTAACTGTGTCTTTTACAATGTGTGACCATAAAATTACAGTTTTACTTTATTTAAATCGACACAAAATCAAATTATTTTAAAGACATTTGCTGTTATTTTCACAGTTTTTACTGATTTTATATTTTTCTTTTCTATATTTTTTCTGGCACCAGTTTTTTTTCCCAGATTTCTTTTACACGTGCTAAATTAAAGAAAATCTAAAACTTTTATAATATAAATATAAATAATCAACTTGTACATGTCACCTGTTTTGTTAAATTAAATAAACATCTTCTCGCTGCCATCAGGAACTTCTCTGAAAGCTATCATTTGAACGTTTGTTGTTGGTTTTTTTTTGGTTAAATGACCCTGAAACAAGCTGAATGGTTTTCACAGATATTTACCATAGCTCTTTCCTCCCTCGTCTCTCCAGGTGAGACTCACTCGGTGTCGGGCTCGTCTCGGTCCTACACTCTGGCCGCCGACGTCGGTCTGGTGACCAGAAACATCAAGATCGTCGGCCAGGATTATCCGCAGATGACGGAGGAGTCGTTCGGAGCCAGACTGCTGGTCGGCAGCTACTCCTGGAAGGGAATCGACTACAAAGGTAGGAGCGCCTGCTTCACTCAGTCGCCTTCTTACAGAAGACTGTGTTTGCTGCAGTTTTTGGATTTAGTTTTGTGGCTCTCGCTCAAGCAAGCAAAACTAAAACTATCATAAAATGTGGACACTACAGTAATAATCTTCAAACTAGTGGGGGAAAAAAGCCCAGTTTTAAGAATATAAAGCTGCATAAATGTAATAAATTGTCAGAAAATTAGAGAAACATCCACACGAACAACACCAAAAACACACTGAATGGCAACATATGGCAGCTTTTTTCGAGATGTAGACGATCAGGTACCAGCGATACAAACGTTCCTTCATCATGTATTTTCTTCCTGAAGGCAAAGCTCAGATCAGGAACGTGGAGTTTTATCGCTCCGGTCAGGAAGGCTGGACCGACTACAGCGACCCGCGGTACTCGGTGGCCTTCGTCAACCTGGGAGAGGTACGGCAACTCACTTTACTACCTGAAGATCACAGGAGGACGTGCAGGGAGCTGTTCTGGAGGAAGGAGTTTGATAAAATTAGCTGTATAAATGTGCATCTAGCTGGATGATCAATGACAGCATATGTGTTTGTTCTGTTTCCTGTGGTTTAAACAACAACTAGCCTCTGTTCAGAGGAAGTGTCTGTAAAATGTTGGAGTAAATGTAGTTTTTTTTTCTGTGTTTTAAGGTTTCAGGAGACGAGTCGTACATCCAGGGTTGTGCTTTCCACGACGGCTTCTCTCCGGCCATCGGCGTCTTCGGGACCGAGGGCCTGAGCGTCGATGATAACGTCGTCCACCACACTGTCGGAGAAGGTAGACGCCGCTTTAAAGTGTTGATTATCCGCCAACAACAACCTCCTGACCAGTTATACATGAGATCGTCTGCGTTTTAGCTCAGTTTAAACCCGCTTTAGAATCCTGAAACTCTAAAACTATGTTGAAAGTTGAGTTTATGTCACGGACTGTTTCCTAGCTTTGCCCAACACTTCTTCTAGGACCATCAAATACATCATGTGTGTGTTTGCAGGTCTCAGAATTTGGGGCAATAACATCACTGTGAGGAGGAACCTGGTGATGATGTCGCTGTGGCCGGGGTCCTACCAGGACAGGGAGGAGCCCTTCAACTTCGACTGGAACGCTGCCATCGAGGTCAGAATAAATCACTCATAGCTGTGAATGAAGGTTTACATCCACTTGTAAAGACCATTAATGTCACGCTTGAGTTTCCACTGACTTCTGGAAGTCAGACTTTTCTATGATGGAGTCACTGAAACACACGAGTCTTTGGATGCTGGTTTCATCGTAGATTTGTTATAGATCTTCTGGTCATATTGTCTTGTTGGAACCAAACAGCATCCGAGATCAACCTTCTGTTGATGGTTTCAGGTTTTAATCCTCCTCCTTCATTGTTCCATTGCCTTTGGCTCCAGAGCATGATGCTGCCACCTCCATGCTTGATGGTAGGTCTGGTGTTCTTGGGGTTAAAGGCCTCACCTTCTCTCCTCCAAACTTTCCTCCAGAAGGTCTTTTCTTTGTCCATGTGATCAGTGGAGCTTTAAGGTTCTGCTTCTAGAGGAAGAACTTCCTTCTCCATCAGCCTCTCAGCTCATGTTGATGTCAGACCCTGTGGACACTGACGGCTGTGTTCCAGCAGCTTCTGGTCCATCCAGAGCTGCTTCCTGCTGGTTCCTGGTTGACTCTTGACCATCCTGACCAGTCGTCTCTCAGCAGCAGGTGATAGTTTGTGTTTCCTTCCTGATGGTGGCAGTAACACAACTGGACCATGAACGTTATGCTGACACACTGATGGTTCTGGGACCTGAAGCTGCTCTGAAATGGCTCCAAGTGACTTTCTGATCTGTGTGGTTGAGTCTCATAAGTGGATCAAATGGTTCCTATTTAAATTGGCTCAGAGGAGTCAGCAGCCTCACCTTCTCTCCTCCAAACTTTCCTCCAGAAGGTCTTTTCTTTGTCCATGTAATCAGTGGAGCTTTAAGGTTCTGCTTCTAGAGGAAGAACTTCCTTCTCCATCAGCCTCTCAGCTCATGTTGATGTCAGACCCTGTGGACACTGACGACTGTGTTCCAGCAACTTCTGGTTCATCCAAAAATCTGATGAACACAACTTTCAACATCACCAAAAGTTTGGGTTAAAAGTTATAATTCAAGTTGCTGTATGTTTTTATTTTTGAACCAGCAGATTTTGTCGTATTTCCAGAAGATCTATTCAATTACATTTCCTTTTGTCTGGCGTGTTTCAGTGATTCCATCATCGGAGATTAAGAGTTACAGACGACCGTGATACACATGGACACAAGTGGATGTAAACTTTGGTTTCAAAAGTCCATCCCTGTATTTATGATCTGTGTTTTTTGACATACCAGGTCAACGAGGGGACGAACGTCGTGCTGCAGAACAACATCGTGGCCGGATACGAGAGAGTGGCCTATCGCATCGACGGGGAACCGTGTCCAGGTAACAGAAACACCTTTAACAAAGCTAGATTTTTCATGCTGGCCTGAAATTTAAGCTCCTTTGCAACAGTAAAGAAACTGACGGAAGCGACGTTTTCCTGTGCAGGGACTGTGAATAAGAACGAGAAGTGGATGGACAACGAGGCTCACGGCGGTCTGTACGGAGTCTACCTGAACAAAGACGGTCTGCCCGGCTGCAGCCTCGTCCAGGGCTTCTTCATCTGGAGGAGCTTCGACTACGGCATCTACTTCCAGGTATGAAGCCGGAGTTTCCTTCTTCTGGTTCTCGATTTATGTGTTTAATTAACCCACAAAGTAGCCCTGAGGTCAATAAAGGACAAATCTGAGCGTTTAATCAGCAGAAAAGAATGTGAAAACGATGTTGAGCAGCCAACTGTGGCGGTTGTAGAGTCCAGATTAAACCTCAAACATGACACCAGATCTCCGTCCTCTTCCTCTGCAGAACACCATCAACATGGTCATTTCCAACGTGACCCTGGTGGACAACGGGATGGGCGTCATGCCGCTGACCTACGCTCCTCCGTCACTGTCCCACGCCTTCGCAGATAAAACCGTAAAAGTCCAGGTGAGACGCTTCAGTCTGACTCGCTGGTTCCTGTAGTTGATCAGTCGGGAACTATTTCAACGACAGATTTTAAATTCCTCCTCTTCCTGCAGAGCTCCCTGATCGTTGGCAGCAGCCCGAACTTCGACTGTTCACTCGGTTTGGATTCCAGTGACTTTAATATCGCGACCAGCGCCAGTCATCGAGCTCCCAGACCTCGGCAAGGTGATGCTGCCGAAACACAATGATTTATTTAGAGGATATTTGTTTTGATTTAGAGAGACCATGAATTAAAAGAAAGTTGGAATGTTTTGGGGTTTGCCTTTTGGATTTTGAACGTTTAAGATCTCACCAAAAAGGGTTGTTTAAGCTTTTAGGAACAATCATTTCTTTAACCGGTGTCTCCATTTTTGCTGTTCATAGGAGGCAGATCTGGAGTCTGTTGGCCAAACTTTGCATCTGGACACAACACCGCTCCGGGTAAACCCCACCACCTGAACATGAACTACAACGCCATTAAAGGGCTGATGACGGTCACAGGTGGGTTCAGACTCTGAGTTTTAAAAATGTCTTTGCTGTACACAAACTCCCTTCTGAGCCCTCGTTTCTCTCTTTCTAGGCACGACGTTCGTAAACTTCCGAAACGTCTGCTCCGGTGAGGCGAACTTCATGTTCATGACCAACCCACTGAATGAAGACCTGCAGCATCCGGTGCAGGTTTCAGACCTGAAGCTGGTCGACAGCACGGACGAGGCCAAAATCTTTGTTCACAGGGCTGATGTGGGGTCAGTCAGTGCTCTTTAACAGTTGACTTGTTCTTTAGATCCTGTTGCAGTCACTTTTATTTCTATTTATATTTTATTGTACTTTACTTCACTTTGTTAGCTTTTGCTTCCTGTAAAAACCTTATAGACGAGTGTTAGCATTAGCATTCACTATAAACGCTGTTGTACTTGCACAGGACAGTTGTTTTCAGTTTAGCTCTATAAACGGCATGATGTAAACCATAAATAAATTAATTAATATTTACATCAGACACCTTGAAACGAATTTCCAGAGGATTGTGGAAAATGGTTGTAGCGTTAAAGATGCTAAATTCAGGGTCTTTTCGGCTTGAGCAGAGACAAAACAAATTCAAAAATGGTGTCCAGAGGAGCACGTTATCGGCAAGTTATTGGTAGATACATTCAACATGGTGAAATATCCTTCTGGAGTTGCAGAGTCATGCAAAAAACAAGTTTGTAGAGGTTGTAAATCGTAAAATATGTAGACACCTGTGGACGCTTAGACAAACGTCGGACATGTTGAATGCAGTTTAAAGTTGCTGCCTAGAAAGTAAATTTGTGAGGTCGTGATTACAACACTGGAAGTCGTGCACGCCGGTTGTTTGGCGTTTAAGTTGCACCATTTGACATAAGTTGTGGAAACACTGCTGCTTGTGTGGATGTCACTGTCGCTGTCTAGGAGCCACCGAGGCTAACCATTTAGCATGCTAATGGTGAATCCAAAGGCAGAAAAGACAAGGCCACTGAAAATATCAACGTTTTCTTCTAACTTTAGAAAGAAAAGTAGAAAGAAAACCATGCATGAGTTATATTTCAATATATTAGTTACCAATCTCTTATCTGCGGCCTTCGATGTGTCTAAAAACGGTAGCAAACACGTCACAACTCATAAAACTCAAAGCTTTCGGAAAAATGTCTACTAACAAGGTCGTGAACATCACAAGAGGAGGGCTTCATACGTCTCATGAGTAAACTGAATTTGAACGCAGCAAGAATAACCTAAAGATGTTCTCAAAGGTGTAAAAAGTATGTAGATTTGTAACCGTTGGCAGCTAAGCGCTACATGTTTTAGGACGTAAATCAACAAAAACAAAGTGTCTCATAACGTAAAAACCTTTAAACTGCCTTCTCTGACGTTTAACTTCAGGTCAAACCAGTAACTGTCTGTTTCTGCGCCTCAGTAAAGTGAACCCGGCCGACTGCGTGGACATGGAGTGCGACGCGAAGAAGAAGACCATGCTGAAGGACTTGGACGGGTCGCTGCTGGGTGCTGTGGGAGCTGTGGTGCCCCAGTCCGAGTTCGAGTGGAACGGAGATCCCAGGAGGGGCCTCGGCGACTATCGCATCCCCAAAGTCATGCTCACGTACCCCAATGGCAGCCGAATCCCAGTGGACCAGATCGCTCCCAACAAAGGTGACCCGACTGAAGGAGTCTTTCTGGAAAAGAGAAAAGATTTGCGCTGTCATCTGGTGAAAGTGCAGAAATAGGAATAAAAAGTCATTTTTAGCTAGAATCAGCTCTACCACTTTGCTATTCCTAGAAACATAGATTACTGGAAAAGAAGTGCAAGAATCATCCTTCCAGTCACTGGTGTTAAAGCTAACACATAACATTTATTAACAAGTTTCTCAATCCCAAAACCAGCAGGTTCGAAAGACATGTTGTCTTTTTTAAAACTGCCGGATCACGCTATTTTTCTAAAATGTAAAAACTGAAAGAAGATATTTAATGTTGAACCAACTGTTTGGACCAGATGCTGTAAAAAAAAATAAATAAATAAATAAATAAAATGCCACGACTGCTGCTAGAACCACCAATCACGTGACTTTAGGGCCATTCGGCTGAACTGCAGGCTGTGTTTGCACATAGACGAGTTGTCAAGAGAGACCATGAGGAAAATAAAACATACCGGATCAGTAATACAGGCAGAGAAGCACGTTGTCAGCAAGTTGTTGGGAGATAAGTTCTGCATGATGAGATATTCTTCTTGCCTTAATATGTGGAGTAAACTGGCCAACAGTTTGAGGTTGTAAAATATAAAAAAGTAAAATATCTGTTGTATGTTGAGCTTGGATGTCATATGTGGACACTTTAAAGGTGTTGCACGTGTTGATTCCAGTTTCTTTCAAGTATTGTAAATTAAATAACCAAAGAAATGTAACTTTTATGATTTATGGTGTCATAACTGTGTCCTACCGCACAGAAGACGTTTCTGAGTTCTCTGTACTTCTTGCCATGTTTGTGTTGTTTCCATAGAGGTGCAGGACTTTAGTTTAAAAAAAAAACAAGAACCCACAGTGAGTAAAAAACTGTGACGCCCAGAAACTGCTTTGGGGTTCGTCGGGTTAAATTCATTCCCGTGATTTAAACCTTAAACACCTCCACCTTCACGCTCCTGTCTGGCTCTTCTTAAGACAAACATATTTCCTCAAATGCTGTGTTCAGGTGTGATCAGGAAAAACTGCACCTACATGACTTCCTGGCAGAGCTACAAGTGCTTCGACCTGAACTACAGGATGCTGGTGATCGAGAGTCTCGACTCGGACACGGAGACCAGACGTCTGTCGCCCGTCGCCGTGCTCGGAGACGGATTTGTGGATCTGATCAATGGTACTTCTTGCAGAATTACAAATCAACTCTGAAACACCAGAGGAATGTGTTTTTGATGCGGTCTTTGTGTCCAGGTCCTCAGGATCACGGCTGGTGTTCAGGCTACACCTGCCAGAAGAGGGTGTCCCTGTTTCACAGCATCGTGGCCACCAACCGCTACTTCGACGTCTTCTTCACCAGCGTCAGTCCACAGAAGCTTCGCCTCATGATGCTCAACGCTGATCCATCGGAGGTCGGTGCACGTCTCGGATGACACGGCTCTGATCTGAATGTTTTAGTGACTTTACAGTAATGTTTGTCAGGTAGATATAAGAGGGGATTATTTTACAACCTTTAACTTCATTGTACTCGGTCCAGCGACCATCTTGAGCCTCCAGATTCTTCTCAAAAGGTTCAACCCTGATTTCATCCAGCATAACATCATCCAACATCTGACACCTGACTCACAGCTCCAGTGTTTCTACTCTACAGTGTAGAGCTTAGAGTTTTTGTGGACAGTGATGTGAGGCTTTACAGTAAAAACACTTAGAGTTGTTGAGGCAGAGACGTTATTGAAACAACCTACGTCCACTGCTAAGATGACCACACCTGTAAGCCAGATGTGAACCTTCACTTCAGGTCTAATTAACTCCCTTTATGTAGCTGTTAATCAAGCGTGTCTTTGTTTTGTTCAGAGCATCGTGGTGTCCGTCTTCTACTCCAAACCTCAGCGGTTGGACGTATACGTCGACAACACGCTGGTCGTTCCCACTAATGCCGAGTGGAACGCTGACCGAAGCGACTACACCTTAAAGAAGCCGATATCTGCAGGTACTGACGGTTCACAGACACAAATAACGTGAGCGTAACGCCACATGGCTGTGATTCTCCGCACGTTTAAGAGTTCTGTCTTTTTGTATTCCATGTCTTGATCTAGTGGAGGATTATTTCATGCACATGTGGATATATTTTAAAAATAGAAATGGACATTGCTTCTGCAACTCTGTCTTTTCTCTACGGGGATCAATAAAAGTGTTCTGTCTGTTTATCTAAAGTGATAAATGCACATTACATACCTTTCTACAAGCACCTGAAAGCATCTACAGGAGCATGAATCTCATTGTTATCAACTCAAGAAGTGTTTCCAAAACCAACAATTTCAGGCAATTTAATGCAAATTTTTGTATATTTCATTTTTTGCAACAAGTTCAAAGCATACCAAGGCATTCGGAGACTTTCAGACTTTTATTTCATCCCTTGAAGGCTCCGCAGCCTAAATTTAAACATTAAAAATGACCAATAATCAATGGGGACAATCGTTAAAGTCGCAGTTAATGAAGGAAATATGGTTTTCTGTCTGTAATTAATCAAGTCTGATCACCAAGAATGAAGAACTGAGGTTTTTCTCATCAGTTCAGTTGTCATATTGTCTGATTTTTTTCAGGTCAGTACGTCCCTCAGTTGAACGCCACTCTGGGCACCAACTACTTCGACCAGGACAACAAGATGCTGAAGGTGGTGGTGAGAGGCTCCAAACCGGTGGAGATCCGGACCGCCCCAGTCCTCGTCATCGCCTTCGACCTGCCCGCCTTGACCGAGGACGAGTTCTTCGGGGACAACCTGGTCCGGAACCTCGCCACGTTCCTCCAAGTTCCCGCCAACATGATCCGCATCACCAACATCATCAGGGGGGACGGACGGCGCCGGAAGAGATCGACGGGCCTCAAGGTGGAGGTGGAGATCAAGAAGCCTCCGGTCCAGCAAGCCACCAACACCACCGACGGTTAGAGGAAGGCTGTTTGAGGTCTGAGGTGTGAATTCAGACAAGCACAAATGAAACTCACTCCTCTGTGTTGCTGTTTTTTCTTTCTAGACGAGGAGGACTTCACGTTGCTGAAGAACATTGCAGATAATCTGGTCCAGGCGGCAGTTTCCGGAAACATCAGTCAGTCCATCGGCTTTAACGTCTCCTCGATGGGCGTCGTCCCGCCGCCTCCTCCATCCTCAGACCCCAGCTGGAAGGAGGTGAGCCGGACCAACATCTGGTCTGTGATGTCATAGAGAAATCTGAAAATAGAACCCAAGAAAGAGGTTTTAACGAAGCAAAACGCATTTAACAGAAGGTGGGGAACAAACACAAGGTAGCTGGAGAATTTAGGGGAAGTACAAGCTTCATAATGTAATCAAGTGAAAAGGAATATAAGAAAGTACAGAAAATCAAATCAGGCATTAGAAACGTGACAGCAAACATGCCTGGTTTCCACATTCCTCTGTGCATGTGTGCGACTTAAACAGCAGTTCGTTAATTTCTACAAGAGCCGTCCTCATGGGTTTGCAAAACGGGGGACAAAAAATAAACGTACAAACTGACAAATAGCAAAGGCAGACACAAGACTACATATGCATAGAGAATTCAGCTGAAACAGGAGGGAAACACAGACAAAGGGAAGAAGTATTTTAAAAAAAACACCCACAAAGTCAAGTTTTTACAGAAGAGAAAGTAGAACAATCCAAAACCACAGTATGACAAGCTCAGCTGTAGCTTTAACTCTGTTTTGTGTAGATTCAGTGATTTTTTTTTTTTCTGTTTTAAACGTCAGGTGGCAACAGAGGAAGTGACGAGAGAGGAACCGGAGAAGAGCTACGTGGCCACCGTGGCCGACCTGCTGCTGGTGGAGGAGCCGGTAGTCGGAGAGTTCATCGGTCCTCTTAACCAGCAGCCACGTCTGATGGCTGTGGACGAGAAGGTGAGGAGTCTGAGCAGATGGTTGGAGGTCGATGGATTTGATTGGCCTTTCAAACCCTCCGGCGGGTTTCTGGATCCAGAGGGTCAAAGAAGTAAATGTTATCATTTGCTGTGAGGTCGGAGGCTTGAATTCTAGTGACTGCATGGGTGATTGTTGCACCTCTTTTCCAGTAATTTAAGTTGAGGTGTTTTTTTTTAGGAAATTAGGAAAGTGGTAGAGCTGGTTCTAGGCTTTTATCACCTCCTGTTGGGTTCGCCGACATCATCACTCCTTCAGTCGAGCTCCCTTTGTTTGGAGCGATCTGCTCCACCGGGGTCATATGTTGTGTATTAACTCTGGTCCTGTGTTGTCGTTTGCAGGGAAACTGCGTCTCGGTGGGAGTGACGACTCTCACAGTAACAGCCAGTCTGAAGAGCTCCAGTGGAGACGGCGTGGACGGACTGGAGGGAAACGCCACCATCCTGTTCAGCAGCTGCTGGGCCAACTTCACCGACCTGTCCATCGCCAACAGCGGTACCTTCACCAAATAACACAGAACAATAACACCAACAATCATTTACAGAGCGTGTTCCAAACTGACATAGTTGATGTTCTGAGAAAATGCAAAGCTGAAAACAAGCAGAATATGAGTTGTTTTTAGCTGCCGTGTGCTTTTTCACTTTGTTCAGGGGTTCAAGAGAAACTTCTTTTGGAGTTTCACTACTGACTTAAACAATAAGGCACCTTTTCATTTGGTTTTATGATGTTGGAGTTTCTAGTTTACTTAATTTTCACACCGTGTGGCATTATGTCAGAATAAAATCCACTTAAGTGAAATGGTAATTTATTTCATTTTCTGGAGGAAAATTAACTGTTTTCATGAATCATTTAATGAGTTAAAATAATCAAAAGATGAACTGAGACAAGTGAGACCAATGAGGGTGGCGCAGACAATCAAAACGGAGGAAAAATACACAAACAGAAGAAGTAAAACTACGAGAAACACACACCGGAGAACTACTGAGAATAAACAACAAACCAAAATGAATTAAATACCAGAAGAGAAGGGCCTTAAAAACGATCCGTAAACTCTTGACATCTGTCCTAAAACACGCTGAGACCCAGTGAATTATAGTTTGTACAGATGTGGCTGGCTTTCCTGACTTTTTTGTAGTTTTGATGACATATATAAACACTGTAATGTCACAAACAGGAAATGATCGACCGAGCAGCTAATGGTGAAACTGTGAATGAAACACGAGCACAAATTCACTTTTCTTTCCTTCTGTTTTTTTAACGCCGATCCAGTGTTTCCAAAAAAACATCTAATTCCTCGTTTTGATGCGGTTTCGATCACTCATGAGCTCACAAGGAGTAGAGCCGTGGCATCAGTTAGGTCTGTGAAGATTCAGGCCTTAAAAGTGGAGGTTGAGATCAGAGGAGACTCAGTGATAGTCGATCAAAAAAGGAGGGAAAAACACAAACGGAACAACTGAAACCTCTATAGACATGTGAGACAAAAATAAACCTGAGAATGTTTAAAAATGAATGAAAAAGAACCACAACAGTTGGGCAGTAAACTCCTAAGATGTTTCCTAAAACGTCCTGGAAGGACAGCGCTCAGAGGCCAGAACAGGAGGGACGGGATCGTGTCTCGTGCAAGAAAATGTATTAACAAATAAAAACCAGAGCACCTCAGTAATCGCTCGTCTTCTCCCTGCAGGCGAGAACCTGACGATGGTCTTCACTCTGAAGGAGTGGAGCGCCCAGTCCAGAGCTTTCTCCGTCCAGGAGAAAAACACCACCACCGAGACCCCGACCACCGTCACCTCGACGACGGACGGGCCTACGACCACCGACGGCAGCGTGTTCGGCTCCAGCACCGTCGTGTCCGCCGGCAGCCTGTGTCTGGTCAGCGTCATCTACTCCGTGGCCTGCTGCTCCGACGCCATCCCCATATGTTAGAGGTTCCAGGCAGCAGGGTTTCATGAAGGACGTTTTATCCACTATGAGAGGAGCAGCTCCGCCAAGTAACACAAACTGAACTCAACTATGAACGCAGCATGCACATGGAGAAAAAGTTGATCTAATTTCTATTATTCTAGCTAGAAAGGGGTTAAATTCAATCAGCTGTGTGCCCTTTATCATTCCCAGATGTTGCCTGATGTCCATTCTGTTGATCAGAGGCTGCTGGAACATCGTTACATGCTGTGTTTGTATTTTAGCTCAGTGTACTTTTTAAATATTTTCACATGAAGGTTTTCTTTGTCCTTTTAGGTGATTTTATTAGGGTGAGTTTTATGTGGCTATCCAATAAATCAGGTGTAAGATCCCCCCCAAAAAAAGTGCAATAGTGAATTGAATCTGCAGGAAAACATGAAGGTTTTGAATGTGATTTTTTTTTTTTTTAAACAGTTGAAAAAAAAAAAGGGTTTGAATTTGCTAAAATACTAAATGCTGCGATTATATTTTTGCTCGCTATACTTCTTGAATATTTTATCCACATGAAGGTTTTTCTTTGTCTTTTTTGGGTTGTTTCATTGTGTTATTTTTTATGTGACTATTACAATAAATCAGGTCTTTAAAAAGTGCAATAGTGAAGCTGAATCTGCAGGAAAACATGAATGTTGTGAATGTGATGAAAACAAACTGTTGCATTTTGATGATTTTCATCTTTTTTCAATAAATTCTATTTTTCATTGTTATCTGTGCGTTTACTTCTTGGTTTGATTATGTGTTCAGGCCCAGTAGAGACTCTGTCCGTGGTGCTGAAGGACGCACACTGACTGCCACGTTTTTCTTTTTCGGTTTTTGCGCAACGACGCTGTTCCTGTGCGTCACTAGAGGGCACGAGACTCCAGTAAACCCTCAACTCACGGTTGTAAGATTTAAACTCCTGCTTTATCAGGGAGAAACCTACAAGTTGAGGCTCCAACTTAAAAATTCAAAATCCACTTTGATTGTGTACGAGCAGGGGTTTTTGGGGGGAGGGTTGGAGGGGGGACAAACCAACAGGAGCAGAAGTTTACGCGCAGCTTTTCAGCGCACATCTGGCTCCCCGGGAGGAGGGAGGCGACGGCCGACAGAGGAACAATTAGTTTTACAGCCTTAATTTGCGCCCTCCATTTAGCCTTTCACGACCACGGTACAATGTGGGCGTGTTCTCGGGCCCCTTTCTTAAATCTTCGCACCGCCTGTCCTCCGGAGCTGCGCGCACTGAGCCGAGCAGCCACTTGCTGCAGAGTGGATGCAGCTCTGGTCCTCCGGCCGCGGCTCAGGCTCCGAGGATGGATCTCTGCCACTTCGCCTTCCTGTGCGGGGCTCTGGTGCTGCTCTGGGATCTGCCCTGCTGCAGGACTCTTGCTATTTTCCCTCCAGCTCCTCCGAAGAGCAGCCTGGTGGCGAAGATTTTTGACGGACAAGAAAAGTACTTCAAGGAGCTTTACGCGCCGCCGTCACTGGACAGAAACAACAAGGCGACATCCAAAGACTCCGTCGAGCCTCACGACTACATGCTGTCCATCTATAAAACCTTCTCCACGGCGGAGAAGCTGGGGCTGAACGCCAGCTTTTTTCGCTCTTCGAAGGCTGCAAACACTATTGCGAGTTTCGTGGACACTGGAGAAGGTATGTGGAGCTGCGCAGTGTGAGTCAGTGTGAGTGTGCAGGTGGGATTTATGAATGCTTGATCTCCCAGGCGAGTTGAGTGCAGACAATAGTGGATTTTTCCCTCTGTGGTTTGTTCATCCCCCTGGTGTGTCTGACCTGCGGTTTAATGCTTTCCACAGATGACCTCCCACTCTCCCCTCTGAGGAGGCAGCAGTATCTGTTCGATGTCTCAACCCTGTCGGAGAAAGCCGAGGTTCTGGGAGCCGAGCTCAGGATTTACACCAAAGTGTCTGGGAATTTCAGGATTTCGGAAACGGAGCCCGTCGACGTCCAGCTGCTCTCCTGCCACGACCAGCAGCTGCTCGACTCCAGAACTCTGGACCTGCAGGACTCCCACCGGCCCAAGTGGGAGGTCCTGGACGTGTGGGAGATATTCAGAGAGCGGCAGCACCTGAGCCACGGGAAGCACTTCTGCCTGGAGCTCAGGGCCATGCTGGACAACCCCGAGAGGGAGCTGGACCTGCACCTGCTGGGCCTGCACCGACACGCCAGGCCCCAGCAGAAGAAGGCCATCCTGGTGGTGTTCACCCGCTCCAAGAGGAGGCAGACGCTGTTCAGCGAGCGGCGGGAGGGCAGAGCGCTGCTGGGCCTGGAGAGGAGGCCCAGGGAGAGGAGCCGGAGGCGCCGGACGGCGGCGTCCAAGACCCGCCACGGCAAGAGGCACGGCAAGAAGTCCAAGTCCAGGTGCAGCAAGAAGCCTCTGCACGTGAACTTCCGGGAGCTGGGCTGGGACGACTGGATCATCGCCCCCCTGGACTACGAGGCCTACCACTGCGAGGGCGTGTGCGACTTCCCGCTGCGCTCCCACCTGGAGCCCACCAACCACGCCATCATCCAGACGCTCATGAACTCCATGAACCCCAGCAACATGCCGCCGAGCTGCTGCGCCCCGTCCAAGCTCAGCCCCATCAGTATCCTCTACATCGACTCCGGGAACAACGTGGTCTACAAGCAGTACGAGGACATGGTGGTGGAGTCGTGTGGCTGCAGGTAGTCCAGGATCAGACTTCTTCTCCAGTCAGCAGAGTTCAAACCGGCTGCAGCTGAAATCAGGAAAACTGGTTTCTTCAGCCAGATGGAGACTTTGTGATACAGTTTGAGACCCAACTGTCGATACCTCAAACACTTGAAGAGTTCATTTACAAAAACAGATCACTCCATTTTTGTAGATTTTCAGAAAACTTGTTTTTTTGTTGTTTGCTTGAGATGATGTCAAACTGAAGCTGAGCGGATTGGACTCAGCAGAAATGACACAAATAGAGACAACTGAAGTTTGACTGATGTCGTCTCAGGTAGACGATGGAACAGTGGGTTTTCTGAAGGTTTGTGAAGATGGAGGTTTCTGTTGTTGCAAATGAACTCTTCATTTGTTTTCTTTCTTTTTCTGTCTTGAGGAGGTCCAGCTGGTCTCCTTCAACGTCACCTTCATGTTCATTAACTAGAACTCTGTTCTCATTTAACACTGTTCCACCTCAACAGAGCTCCATCACACATTCAAACTTCTTCATTTAGCTCATTTATTCTCCTTTAAAACACACATTTCAAAGTCTAATGAGAGAACAAATGAAGGCCTTTGCTGTGATTTGGAGCTCAGTTAAGGCGGCACGTTGCAAAAGAAGTGAACTAAAGCCCCATTTTCAGTTTTCTATCACACTCAGTCTTACTTCATCTGATTTACGACAATAAATCCCAAAATATAATACTCGTAATATTAATATTCATGTGAATTCAAGGCAAAAGATTTACATCAACTTAATAAATTAGAAAAAATGTGAGAATATGATTTGAAATTATCACAAAAAAGTGACAAAAAAAGTCACAAAATTGACCAAATCCTGAAAATAATAGTCGAGTATTTTTTCTGTGATGAGAAGATTGACACCACTCTTGTGTCTGTGCGCTAAGTTTAGCTTGCAGCTAGTTAGCTTAGCATAAAGGCTGGAAGCAGGTGGAAACAGTTAGCCTGACTTTGTCCGACGCTAGCAGCGTAAAGTGGCACACAAAAGTAGAACAGCTAACAGCGAAAACAAACGATGTGATTGTCCAGCAAATTTAAAGTCAACTCTGAGAACGTCGCAACATAAATGTAAATTATGTTTTCATTGCCTGCTTTTGGGTAAACTGGGCAGAAGGTGGCGCTAAAATCCTAAAAATTAAAATAATAAAATAAAGTTTGTCCATTAACAGGAGAAAAGTGTTCAGGAATTGTTTTCAGTTGGACAAATTGTAATTATTCCTTCATGCCGATCAGGTTTTATGTTGTCTAGACTCAAAGACAGCAAAAGAAATGCATCAGAACTTATTCGTAAAAGGAGGATTCAGCTTCTAAGAAACCCAGGAAGTTGCTTCTTTCTAATTTTGCCATTTGCATTAACTTTATCTAATGCGATGCTTCAAAATGCACATCAAAAACAGCGCTAATGCCTTCTTTAGCCTTATCGGTTCAGCTGTAATTCCAACTGTTTACTGCGTTTCCGTTTAATTATCAAGTCAATTTGAACCAAACTAAAAAAAATGTCACAAAAAATACAGACAGTTAGGATGAGGCTAACTGCTACGGGCCGAATAAACAAAATTGTGCTGTCTGGCTCTTCAGGCTAGCTACGTCAGCTTTGATAAAAGAAGCAAAATCAGCTGTTTGCAAACAATTTTGACCTTTTACCGGGAAAACATATTTGAAAATGATGTTTTCTTCTTCCCTTATGTACATTAACTGCTTTTAGAAAAAGTCAAAGACCACTTCGAAGGAGCATAAGATCTTTTTTTTTTGCGAAATTGGGGATTTTTTTATTTTGTATTTTGCCGTTTTCATTAACTTTATCTGATGCAATGCTTCAGCACTTTTACCTCATCGATTCAGCTGTAATTATGTCTCTGTTTCAATTTAATTATCAAATCAATTTGAACCAAACTTCAAAAATGTCACAAAATAAATAAAATCAAGATTAGGCTAGTTGTTACGCAGCGAATAAACAAGATTGTGTTGTCTGGCGCTAAAGGCTAAAGGCTAGCTACATTAGCTTCGATTAAAAAAAAAAAAGCAAATCAGCTGTTTGCGAACCAATTAAAAACCAAAACAAACTGAATTTTGACCTTAAACAGGAAAAACGTATTCGAAAAAGGAGCTTCCGTCTTCCGTTATGCGCATTAACTGCTCATTGAAAACGTCAACCACAACCTCAAAGGAACGTAGCATCTTTTTTTGCAAAATTGGGGCTTTGTTTTGTTTTGGTTTTTTTTCAAATTTTGTTGTTTCTAATAACTTTCCAAAACAGAAACACAGCATTTGCGTAACAAGCTTTTCAGACAACTTCAGAGGCGCTAGTAGACGCTGACTGAACCATGCTAACAGTTTCCTACTGTTTCCAGGGTTTATGCTAAGCTAGGCTAACTACCATTAGCCTCCTGCAGCTTCATGTTCGACTGTACAGATGTAAAAGTTTATCTGCAGATGTTTCAGGAAAAAAAGTGCAAAAGTAAAACTTGTTTTAGGTTCAGCTGTTCATGTAATAAGAGAAGCTACACAGATATGAACATTTGATGTAAATGATGTTGTTTTTTTTGTTTTTTTTCTGGTCTTTACGATCATTTCCAAGAGAATCAAGCTGATTACAGTCCTCCAGCCTGTTTCTTCTGTAAACGGAATAATTAACTTCAGCTGAACATGTTTCCCAGAATGGAAACA